TTAAAGACTAAGACAAAAAACAACTGTGCAATAAATGAGGACAATGACCTCCAAATGTAAATAGTGTATAAGTATCTTGATCAGAGGTAGAAATGTATACTGCAATATTATAAATATATGTCAATATATAAAAATTTTTAAACAGAGGTAGATGCATGCAATATTTAATATTATTTAACTTTGTATCAATATATAAAATCTATACTAATGTAATTGTCTATAAATAATAACTTACAAACCAATCTATTATCCCATCATCCAATTTTCCCTTTTTTTTTTTAAACAAAATCCCTGAGCTTATAAAATTTCCCTCCAAAACTCAACTGTATACTAATTATAATCAACTCCTAAATGATGTCCCTAACCCTGAGGACAAACTTTGCTGGGAAAGGGGGCATCGTCTTCTAGAATTCCATGGACTGGGTTGTATATGCCCTTCTCCAGAGTGCTGAATCTCTCTTTAAATGAATTACTTTTATGTGCCAAATCAGCTATTTCCTCCTCCAGAGTGCTGAATCTCTTTTTAAATAAATTACTTTTATGAGCCATATCAGCTGTTTTCTTCTCCAGAGTGCTGAATCTCTCTTTAAATAAATTACTATCAGTCTGTATCTTTTCCAAAAATATCTCAGTTGACCGAGTCGTATTAAGCAAAGTCCTAGTATCCTCCTTCATATGTGCAATCTCTTGTTTGAAAAGTTTGTTACCAGTCTGTACCACTTAAAAAAAAAACACCCTATTTGACTGAGTTTTGCTATTCAAAGTGTTTGTATTCTTTTAGATGTATGACCTCCTTTTCAAGAAGTTTTATACCAGTCTGTGCCATGTTTAAAAGTACCTCAGCTGACTGAAAAATGTTAGTTAAGGTGGTCATGTCCTTTTTTAGATTTCCAACTTCTTTCCTAAGAAGCCTGGATTCAGTCTGTAAAGACTGTATCATTTTCCTATTGTCAAACCATATTTTTAAGAAAAAAATATTGAGGACAAAACTAAGCCCTAGGAATAACAATAATGATGTAGAAGGGGCATCATATGCATCTTGTAAGACCTCACACATGGTGTAAGTAAAAGGGCTATTGAAACCTTGGACGGTTAGATTGTCTGACATATTGCTTTTTTAAATCAGTAACTAATTATATTTAGAATAATAAATCTCACCTGTGGTTTAATCAGCTGGAGTAGGTGCAATAACCGTTACCTGCCAGTAGGTGTCGCGGTGCACTTGAATCCATGTACTTGGTTTAGATCTGATTTTAGGTTAAATGCTAAAAAATGTGCTTAAATCAAGAAGTTTTTTTTTTTTTAAGTATAAATCACAGATTGTGTGTTCTGTGAAGGTCTTTGGCTGTTCAACAGCCACACGAGACAGTCGGCAGAGGGAGGCAGGCGCCTCCCGCCCCAGCGGCGGTGGCAGAGCTGGGCTGGGTGCAGGCTCCTTGGCCGGCAGCAGTGGCGGAGAGCTCCTCAGCCTTTTCCGCCTTGACCAACCAACCACGTCCCTGCACTGCCTTGAGCTTCCGCAAGCGCAGAAAAAGTAGACCCCGAAATCAGCCCGTAATGGCTAAACAGGGCCGCTGTGTGGGAATTCTATGCTCCAGCTGGCCAGATCCACCAAAGAATCAAGAGGCCCCACGAACCGGGTGCCAACTGTAACTGTTCGCTCGATCCGGAAAATAACCAGGCCAGCTTAAAGATAAACACTTATATTTTTAATTGTTATAAGGGGAAACTCACATCACAAGAATGGGAAGTCCGAGTTCCGCTGTGTCTGGCGGGAATCACCCAGAGAGAACGCACACCTGGTCCATTGTAGTTTTCTTTCTGGGCTCCAGGTAGCCATGCCCTAACTAGGTTCCACTTCTTAAAGATGATTGGTTAACAGAGCGTCCCCCATCAGTTATCAATGTTTATATAAACAGTGGCTACACTTTTGTCACAGCACATGACCACAGGACCATCTACAGAGAAAGAAGCTTACTAACTCCTGAAGGAAAGACTACTAAAAATAAACAAGAGATCCTAGACTTATTGTCTGCCCTCTGGCTCCTGCAAAGACTGGCCATTATTTACTGCCCAGGACATCAAAAAGGAAACTCTTATGAAGCTTAGGACAGTAGAAGAGCAAGCAGGTCATGCCACCAAGGAGGCTTCCCTGGCTGCCACCAATTTACTGATAACAATACCAGACTCTTGTTGCCTGAAATACTAGATTATTTTGCCCCATGTGATAAAGATTTTGCCTCTTTATCAAACACCCAGGTTAAAACTGGATGGAGGGTCATGTCAAATGAATGACTCATCCTGCCAAAAGAACTGGCCAAGTCTATCAAACCCACAGAGGAACACATTTAGGCCAGAGAAAATTAAAGAAACTCCTAGGACACTCAAAATTCAAAAATTTCAATATAAATCAACTGGTGGAGGACTGTGTGATTCAATGCTTCCCTTGCCAGGATACTAGCTCACAAAGGAAAGAACTCTCTCAAAACAAGAGGTACAGAGAATCTCCCCTAGATTCTACTGGGACGTGGACTTAACTGAGGTAAGATTTGGCAAATATTGATATAAATATCTTCTAGTCTTTGTAGATACTTTTTCAGGTTGGGTAGAAGCCTTCTCCACTAACAAAGAGATGACACCAACAATAGTCAAGAATATCATCAATGAACTTACCCCAAGGTATGGACTTCTGTTGATAGACATCTCTGTCCCGCCTGGTCCTGCAGCCATTCAGTCCCAAAGAAACACACAGAGGTCTACATTGATTATAAACTGGTTGGCCCAGTTGGCCAGGGAGGGATGGCACACACCTTTAATCCCAAGACTCAGGAGAAAAAGGAAAACTGATCTCTGTAAATTCAAGGCTACCCTGGGCTACCCAAGATCAATCCAGAAACAGGTTCACGTGATGGTGACTCACACCTTTAATCTCAGTTTGGGAGTCACACACCTTTAATTCCAGCACTAAGAATACGGAGACAAAAACAATATCGTTGGGTAGAGAGAGGAATATAAAGGGGAAGAGATAGGAACTCACTGGAGTGAGGAATCTGAGGTTTGGCTGTGACAGTACCGCCTTGTCATAGACTCCGGAACAGAGTCAGAGGATACTACAACAGAGACCTTAAGGAGTTAAATTGTCATCTGGTATAGTGACCAGGCCTATCTTCCTGTCTACTCTGGAGAGCAGCATAGAGCCACACCTGATGGAGATGGATAATCAACTCCTATGGCTAAAGTCTGACTTATCAGCTGCTTGCATATGCGTGGGCCTATGGGCAGTGCCCACCTGGCAATCCGGGATTGGCAGCCCATGCCTACTTAAGGGCTGGGAGAGGTTTGCCCGAGGAGAGAGGGAGAGAGAGGAAGAAAAAGAGAAAGAGAAAGGAGAGAGGGAGGAAAGAGGAGAGAGAGAAAGTGAATAAAGTCCTGGAATAAACTGTAGTGAGAAGAGCTCCGGTGGTCGCGTCGTCCTTGCTGGACGAGGGTGGGGCGTGACACACATGTTCAAGGCCAGCCTGGGTAACTCAGGTGATAGTGTATGGTTTTTTTTTTTGTTTTGTTTTTTAAAGTAAATACAGGGTTGTGAATCAAGTCAAGTAGTAGAGCCTTTGACCAGCATTTTCAAAACCCTGGGGTCAATCTCCCAAACAATAAGAAATAAAATTTCTCAAGGAAATTTTGTGTTGGGAATGAGAATAGCCTGAGGCATAATGGCCAGAGAAGACCTGGGAAAGGTTCTGATAACATCGTGAAGCTAAAGTACATACTGGTATGCCCTGTCTATTGTTTTGTCTTGTCAATCTACTATAATGCTGACATAGGGAAATGAAAAATCTCAGATGTAGGTTCAAGAAGGATGCTAAAGCGGACTGTTTGCCATCAGAAGTTTATCACAGAAGTTGCTGATGCCATTGATGAATAGACAGACAACAGTATGGTGGGGACTCTGAAGAAAGAACCAGGCCCACGTGCTAAATAAGGGATTCTTCTCTTACAGCTTTCTGAAGATGGGGGTGGTTTTATAGGACAAGCCTGAAGACAGGCTCTCCAATTCTTAGGTTGGAGACAGGAAAGAAGTGGGGAGCAGAATGTGTTCTCTCCTCACCCCCCAATACCTCCTTTACTGTAAACTCATTTCTCCAGGTGAGAGAGCTGGGCACCTGGAAGTCTGTTAGCTAGAGAGTTAGAGACAATGCCCCAGCAGGCACCTGCCAGTGTCTATGAGAGGGGAAAAGCTGCTGGAGAGAGTGTGGCCTGAGCAGCAGTCTGGTCTGGGTTCTAGTCTTTCATTCTTAAAGAGAGAAACTGCAAAGAATTAAAGCATTAGGTTCTGTTCTGCTGACTTTAATTGTTACCTTGACACAGCCTAGGGTATATGAGAGAAGAGGCCTCAACCAGGGATTGCCTAGATCAGATTGGCCTATGGGCATGGCTTTGGGGGATTGTCTGATCATTAGTTGATGCTGAAGGGCCCAGACCACTGTGGGCGGCACCTTTCCTAGGCTGTATAAGAAATTAAGGCTAATCCTGAACTGATGAGTGAGCCAGAAAGTGTGCCAGCATTTGATCAGTGTTTCATCACAGTAGGAAGTTAGGGCCATACCATGGCCCAAACTATAAAAAACCTGTTTCCTTTACTAATTCCTGTCTCCAGGGTTTTTGTAACATACCACACAGGGACTTCACATCCTGTAAAACCAGCCAAGCTGTGCCAAAAACTCTGTGCCAAAAAGCTAAAATAAATCTTTACTCTTTTTAAGTTGGTAATGTCAGGTATCATGCCATAGCAATGAGGAATTGACTAGAATCCAAACAAAGAACAAATTTATTTGAAGGAATAAAATTATGTCTAATAAAGAATATAAACTCAAGAGAATAAAAGTTTATCCTTTAGTTAAAAGGTGTAGTTAAAAAATACCAAAAGACCCAGAAAACATACATTGATGTTTAATAAACTATAGTGGAAGCTTGCCAGGCCAAGCCCTGCGCATGGGGTGAATTTTCTGAGACAGAGCTTGATGTTCCGAGAGGATCCCCTTGATCCTGTCCAGACAGTCTTGATTTGCAGCCACCCCTGCTTCAAATTCCAGGCGTTCCTCTTCCTTCGCTGCTTCCAGAGCCTGCTTCTGGTAGGCAATTTGCATCCGAAGTTGATCCCTATACTCTTTAGCCAAAACACAGCGCCTAAGGTTTTAAAGATAACAAAGGAGAACATTAAAAGTTACCATTTGGATTTATTTATAGCATTATCATTAAATATAATACTTCCATGAATAGGAACACGACAATATCACTTAGAGACCGAGAAATGGGATTGCTTTTGGTAGGACTGCCATTTTTACTATGTTGATCCTACCATTCCAAAAGCATGGGAGATCTTTCCATTTTCTGGTATCTTCTTCTATTTCTTTCTTCAAAGACTTAAAGTTTTTGTCAAATAGGTCTTTCACTTCTTTGGTTAGTGTTACCCCAAGATATTTTATGTGTGGCACCACCACACCTGGATTTGTTTCTGTATTGATCTTGTGTGGCCTTGAACTCACAGAGATCCAAAATCCTGGGATTAAAGGTGTGTGTCACCACTGCCTGACCTCTAATGCCCTTCCAATCTTTAGGTGAACTTTATTAAAACACAAATAAAATATCACTATAAACATCTAGGCACCAAACACAAGGGCACCCAAGTTCATCAAAGAAACACTACCACACTCACTCACTAATAGTGGGAGACTTCAATACTCCACCCTTGCAAACAGACAGGGCATCAGACAAAAACTAAGCAGAAATGCTGGAGCTAACTGACATTATGAACCAAATGTACCTAACAGATAGCTACAGAATATTTCACCCACACACAAACGAATATACCTTTGGGAACAAAATCTATATTGTGGGTAGACTGGGGGAAAATGGGGCAGGCACAGGAGGGGTCAGCTGGGAGAGGATGAAGGGAGAGACTACATGAAGAGATGACTGGAATTGGGGGGCACTGGAATTGCAATGGAAAGTCCCAGGAATCTACGAGGGTGACCTTAGCTAAGACTCCTAGTAATGGGGTATATGGAGCCTAAACTGGCCCTCTTCTATAACCAGGCAAGACTTACAGTGGAGGGTATGGGACACCAACCCAGCCACAGAACCCCCGGCTCACAATTTGTTCTACCTGGGAGATGTGCTCAAATAAAGGTGGCACCGAACTTGTAGGAGTGGCCAGTGATGACTGGTCCATGCCACAAGAGGGCGCCCACTCCTGACACTGCTTGAAGAGCCAGGACCCAGGGCTGAATAGCCCAGAAACCTATGAAAGAATCAAACTTGACTGACAAGAAAAAAAGTCAATGAAAATAACCTGGGTTCAAAGGGCCCACCGGGACTGAACTCACAACCAGGGAGCCTGAATGGGACCAGCTGAGGTCCGCTGCCTATATGTGACAGTTGTGTAGTTTGGCCCTCTTTGTGAGACTCCTAACAGAGAGAGCATGGGCTGTCTCCGCTCTTTTGCCTGCTTTTGGGAGCAAGCCTTTTCCTCCTGCTGGGTTGCCTTGTCCAGCTTTAACGTGAGGGGATGTGCCTAGTCTTACTGTAACTTGATTGCCATGTTTGATCGATATCCCTGGGAGGCCTACCCTTTTCTAAAGGGAAATGGAGTAGGGAATTTAAGGGCCAGGAGAAGTGGAGAAAAAGAACTGGGAGAAGAGGAGAGAGGGAAAGCTGTGGTTGAGCTATAATATAGGAGAGAATGAATGAATGAATGAATGAATGAATGAATGAATATACTTTCACAGCACCTCAGGGCACTTTCCCCAAAACTGACCACATACTCAGACACAAAGAAAGTCCCAACAGATTAAAGAAAATAGAACACCCTGCACCAAATCTGACCAGCATAGATTAAAGACAGATATCTACAACAACAGAAACACCAGGGAGATAACGACCCCGTGGAAACTGAACAATCCTCTACAGAATGAAAAGTGAGTCCAGAAAGAAATTCAAGACTTTCTAGAAATACTCTACATGAGAAAATGCATGGGAAACAATGAAGGCCGCTCCTGAGAAGGAGGCTCACAGCACTAAGTTTCTACGTTTTAAAAATCGGAGAGACTGCATACTAGTAACTTAACAGCACACCTGACAGCTCTAGAACAAAAAGAAAAACCTGACACCCAAAAGGAGTAGCAGCAGGCAATATATAGTCAAAGTCAGGGCTGAAATATATAGCATACAAACAAACAAACAATGAAATACAAAGAATCAATAAAACAAAGAATTGGCTCTTTGAGAAAATTAGTAAGATTAACAATCTTATCCAAATTAACTGCCATCTTGCCTCCCATGTGTTACAGAACTAGAAATACAACTCACACTACTAGATTTTTTTTTAAGTTCTTGTAAATTAATGTTATTAGTCAAGATGCTCATCTGGTCGGGCAGTGGTGGCACACGCCTTTCGCCTTTAATCCCAGCACCTCGGGAGGCAGAGGCAGGATCTCTGTGAGTTCAAGGCCAGCCTGGTCTACAAGAGTTAGTTCCAGGACAGGCTCCAAAACTACAGAGAGAAACACTGTCTTGAGAAAAAAAAAAGAAAAAAGAAAAAAAAAAAGATGCTCATCTGGCTTAATAACCAATGTGTATATTCAGACCCACAATGACAGTGGAACTTAATTTTACCAGCACAATTTGTGCCTATTTTTATATGAAATCGTACTAATTGCTCTGAGGGTCTAAAAGCACCAATGAAGCATTAATATAAAATAGTATCAGTAACATATGGATTAATGGTGCAGTATCCTTGTGTTAAAGATAATATTTTTCTACATAAGAAGTGATAAGAAAGAGAATGAACAAAATCATACCTGGCAAAATTCTCCCTCTCTTCACAGTTAAGTTCTTTCAGGCCTTCATTTATGCGCTCTTGCTGCATAGCCAATTCTTCTTGTTCTTTGGCTTTTCGTTGCACTAAGAAAGGTGAGAGGAATTACTTGACAATTTTTTTTTTTTCAAGCAAGACTTGCTGATATTTTTCTGGGCACTAAAGACATATTGCCTTCGGAATTGTTTGGGATCCCTGGGATAAAAACATGGTAGAAAGAGAAAACTGACTCTAACAAGTTGTCTTCTGACTTCCACATGTGCCATGGTGCATATGGGTGTGCACACACATACACACAATACATACATACATACAATTAAAATTATTTTTTAAAACCAAAGGAAAAGAGAAGCACAGTCCAGGCATGTAGCTGTACACCTGCAGACCAAGGTGCAGGGAAATGGATGGAAGAGTATCACTTGAACTCAGGACATTGAGGCCAGCTAGGTAACATAGGCCGACCCTGTCTCAAAAACAGACGGGAGAAGCATTTCTCTCCAGGAATAAAGTTTTTTATCCACTGTGATCCACACGGATTTCTTCTCATTATTTTGCCCTGAAAATCTTTGAGTGGCCTTTTTACAAGAGATTAAAATCTATCTTGGCCAGATCTGCTGATCAGGGAACAGACAAGGTACTCCTTTGGTCATGGTGGATGATTTTTTTTATGTGTTCTTGGGTTCAATTTGCCAGTATTTTATTGAGTATTTTTCCATCAATGTTCATGAGGAAGATTGGTCTATAATTCTCTTCTGTGCTGAGTCTTTATGTGATGGGGTAACTGTGGCCCCATAGAAAGAGTTTGGCAATGTTCTTTCTGTTTCTACTATGTGAAACAATTTGAGAAGTATAGGTATTAGCTCTTCTTTGAAGTTCTGGTAGATTTCCCCTGACATTTAAGGAGAATGCACACAGGGAGGGTGAAGCGGCTCCCCAAGGTGTGTATTCCTGTGCTCCTAAACCTGCTCTAAGCAGCCTACGGGAAGGAAAAAAAGAAAGTTCTACTTTTCTCTTCCATGATTTATGTCTTTTCAACCAATAGTCCATATAACTGGAAAACTCAAAACCTACCTTTCCCTGAAAAAAGTAAAACATTGGCCCCAAGCTGGGTTGGAAAATTGCTGCTGGATAATGCCGCCTGGGTAGAATGGATTCTCCCTCCTGCCCAACCCTGACCTTTTAGGATTAAAGACAGTTACTGAAAAGATCTCCTTTGTCACCCAATTGGCCCCAGATATTAGGAAAAGAAAGTTACAAAAGTTAAAAAAAAAATAAAGCTATCAGTAGGTCCCAGATGCTGGAGGTGGCTCAGAAGGTGTTTACCAACAGAGAACTGATGGGGACAAGGCCTTTTCCGTGAACCGAAAGCCGCCATCACCTTCTCTGATACTGAGATGGAGCTGGACTATCTCTCAAATTAGCACAAATATCTCTGACGTATGGACAGAAACCAACCCCCAGGACTGGCCCAAGCACCTCCATCCAGACTTAATTTCCATGTGCTTCTATACTCCGACTCCAAAAGGTAGGAGTAAGATAAAAACGGTATTAACATGATACAAGGGATGAACAGACCAGTTGAAGGATTATGGGCTACATCTCCTTGTCATTCTTGTATTATAGCTGGATAAACTAAGGTTGGTTTTCTAATAATCTTGGGCCACCCCTCTTCAGTTTCATCTTCTCTAAATTCCTCTGTCTATGTCTGAATATTTTTTTAATTTTCATTAGTAGGCCTAAGGTTTGTATCTTATCAGTCAACTTTTCACACAGCTCCTCGAACAAAGCCACATCTAGTCTTTCCCAAACAGTTCCACCAGCTGGGGAGAAAGTATTGAAACGTATGAGCCTATGGGGCAATTTTCATTCAAACCCCCATAGAGCCTTTGCCTATCACACCTGAGACCTTCAGTATGATCTGCTATGGAATAAATGGAATAATCCTTTCGTATACTATGAAGGTGTGTTGCTATCATTGGTTTAATAAAGAGGTGACTAGTCAATAGTTAGGCAGGAGATCCAGACTGAGAAAACCTGGGGAGAAAGGTAGTATTGCCAGCAGACGTAGAGGGAGCAGGATGTGTAGAAAATGAGCTAACAATCCACGAGCCACATGGTAGCATGGAAATTAATAAATATGGGTTAATTTAAGTTGTAAAGCTAGTTAGTAACAAGCCTAAGCTATCAGCCAAGGATTTATAATTAATAATAAGCCTTTGTGTGATTATTTGGGAGCTGGCTGGTGGGACAGAAAAGTCCACCTACAGTGAGCTTCAGCACAATAAGAAGAGGAGGAGGAAAAAGAGGAGGAGGGGGAAAAAAAGAAGAAACAAAGGAAGTTCACAAATAACAAATGCAACCAGCTTCATTCTGATTTTTTAGAGAAAATTATATACATATAGAAATGTTGAAGAGAAATTTTCAAAGCTGTAAATAGTTGTGATTTCCTGGGTGTAGAATTATGGTTGGTTTTGTTTGCTAACTCACCCTAGACATTTGAGGTTTCCATAGTTTTTCAACAAGTTTAACATTTATCAAAGATATTTCCTTCTCACTTACTGAAATTACTGAATTAACATTTTTTGACTGCTGTTATAGTTCCTAAACTGGAGACTCAATCAGCAAAGCCAGGATGAGCTATTCCTGTAGCTCGCAGATCACTTGTGTGGAAATCTAACACACTCTCACGATCTGTGTTGTTTCTTTCAGGCAGAGGCAGAAACCTCAGAGTAGCTACAAACTTGATTCCATGACCAAGCACTGAATGCGGAGGAGGAAACACATGGGGTAGTGCATGCTCGGCTTCTTAAGCTGAACGTGGCAATTCTACATTGGGGCACATAACTAAATGCAAAGTCATGAAAATGCCGGCAACATTAAAAGGTTTCTGAACATGCAAAATCAAATTTTAATTCAAATTCAAAGAGGTAATGATTTGTTTCTGGAAGTGTTCGCTGGCGTTGCAGCTACTTTCCTGGCACCTTGATTCCAAGTGCACAGCATGCGATTTTTCCTGCACATAATTCTATACCACCCAGTGCCAATGAACGCTGCTGGGATCACTGTGGCTTAGATTTGGGGCAACTGTGTGTTATGAATTGCAGTTTATGTACCAAGTTTCCCGTTCCTAAATAAACAAAAATGGTTTCATTATGGCAGACCATGGGGATCGGATAAGGTCGAAGGTGACTGTGTATCACTGGCACAGGTACAGACATGTCAAGGCACAGATGCCTCGGATCTACCGGAACGGAGGGCTTTCCCCTGGTCTGGCTAAGAGGGATGGCAAAGCCGTCCTGTGTGCCAAGTACAGGTATTGAGGAAAGTTTGGTTCTTAGCTGAAACCAGTGTGTACAGAAATCACCAACCCCTGCTTCCTCCTTCCTGAAGACTGCATCCCAGGACTACTTGCCTAAAGACCAACACCCCCCCCCCCCATTGAGATTGGCTCACCTGCCTCCACAAAAGGCCTTATACATAAAAAAAAAAAAAAAAAAAAACCTGCTGAGTTTTCAGGCTGTTTGCACATCTCTGTCACCGCACAAGGCCCACCCATTGCCAGCTTTTCTATATGTGTGTCTGTCATTTCTTCATTCCCTATCAGTTAGGTTCATCACTAAACCATGCAGGTCACAGAAATGGTGCCCTAATAGGGATCCTGACTACGGGGACTTGGCATTGGGCCAGATGAGGGAAGGCTCTTCTGAGAAATGCAGACACATGACAATTAAAGATAAGGGGACCTTGTTTTTATGCACTGGGCACCAAACATGGGGCAGCAGAGTTGAGAGATGAGCAATTATATCTTTAGAATTTGAAGGAAGTTTTGAGGAACCAAGAAAATAAAAATGTCATGTTTCCATAAGTTCTTAGACTATGTTCAGACGACCCAGAAAAGATAGAAAATTTGGTTATTTGAAAAAATAGGAGAAAAGTTAAGGGATAGATATATAGCAGAAGGATCCAAACATACTTCCATTTTTACTTCAGGTTTATGGCGTCTTAATGGGATTTTATAAGCTGTTTCCTCACAAAATTGCAGAGTCTGTAAAATAGGGTCCCAGAGGGTGTCTGGCCTTATGCGCTTTGCCCCTCGGTTTACAAAGGACTGACACCTCGCCCCCAGAGACAGCCATAGATAGCTATGGGGGTGGGTGGGGGGCACAACTGCAGTTCCAACAGTGCCCCTGGGATCTGGGGAAACAGAGAGGCAAATTTGATTTACATATCATGCTGGCCCTGACCTGCCTGGTGCCTTGGTCACTGACACTGAGAAATATGAACAGGGAGGCTGAAGATACCCAGTCTGTGGCAAAATGTAACTTGAGTCTAGATTGCAATGAGACCTATGGAAAAATAAACTGTCTCCTTTACCACAGACTTTGTTTAGTGAGAGAGATCTGGGAGACGACACTAATGGTTTTAACTGCTTTTCCATATTTGAGTGACTTGATTCAGTGCTTGGCCTACAGCTAAAACCAGTGTGTGCATAAAGTGTCAGCTACATTGTGGGACTGCTTCCCTACAGAGACCCTGTACTCAGATTAGCTAACACACCTCATAAATGTGTGAGGCTCCAGGCTGCTGTCAGTGCGTCTCCATGACAGCACAGGACCACCTCACCCCAGCTTTTCTGTATGTGTCTACAATTTCTTCATCCTCTGTTGCCCCAGTTAGGACAGTCCCTAAACTGCGCAGGTAGTCGAAATAAACAAAGTCTTCAATTATCTTTCTTATTAATATTCTTCAGTTTGTATCAGATCTTTGAATTGTATGATATTAGAATGTTTTATTATTATTAATTATTCAATTAATGGTTGAGTTGCTGACTTAAGTTTTATTTTAAAAGATCAGCAATTGAATTTTCACTTGGGGTTAGGGCAGACATTCCAACAATTTCTGAAACAGCCTTCAACATAATTCTGCCATTTTGAACTATATGTTTATGTGAAGTTGCATTCTCAGTACTGATGTTTATAAAATAAAAACACCAGTCAACTCTGAAAAATATTAAATGTGCAATCAGTCCTGCATTATCAAATATCCAGCCAAGATTAGGCCCCAGGATTTTATTCTTTATGTAAAATAAGCAAGCACATCCATCTCATTAGAATGCAATTTTGGGGGGCTGGAGAGATAGCTCAGTGGTCAAGAGCATTGCCTGCTCTTCCAAAGGTCCTGAGTTCAATTCCAAGCAACCACATGGTAGCTCACGACCATCTGTAATGAGGTCTGGTGCCCTCTTCTGGCCTGCAAGCATACATGCAGACAGAATATTATATACATAATAAATTTTAAAAATATTTTTTAAAAAAAAACAAGAAAGAAAAAATATGTATAGCTATACATCTCACCTTGGGGGTAGGATTTCAACATAACGTTTGAGGAACACAAACATTCAGACCATAGCAATGGGCAATAAAGAAATACCCATTTCTTTAAAAACAAAACCAAAAAAGAATGCAATTTTGCTTTTATCTTTAATAAATAGTAAAAATATCCATCTATCAAAAATTGTTTTAAATTTATTTATGCTATATTATCAGTTTATGTTGGATCTGTGCCCATTTTATACACTCGTATATATGGGGTTGTTTAACCATTTCCCAAATGAAAGGCTCATGAGTGGGAAATTGTAAGGAATTATAATCTAGATACACTGAAGCTATAAGATTGATAGTCTCCAGGAGACTCTTGGAGCATCTCACTGAAAGGCTCTGCATTCAGAGAGCAAGAAGGACACTATGGGATTAATGGAAGATGTTGGAGGGAGGGCCTCTTGGTTGTTCTGGTGGCTCAACCCCAAAATAATCACACAGAAACTGTATTAATTAAATCACTGCTTGGCCCATTAGGTCTAACTTCTTATTGGGTAACTCTTACATCATAATTTGACCCATCTGTGCATAACTACAAGGTTGGGGCCTACCAGCAAAGTTTCAGCACATCTATCTCCAGCAGTAGCTCCGTGGCTTCTCTCTAAATCCGCCTTCCTTCTCCCAACATTCAGTTTAGTTTTCCCCGCTTTTCTAAGTTCTGCCCTGCTATAGGTCCAAAGTAGTCCTTTATTAACCAATAGTATTCATAGCATACAGAGGGGAATCCCACATCAGGAAGAAATATTAATTTTGATAAAGATAGACAGATACCAACATGGCAGGAACTCTGGGGAGTGCTCAGGGCCCTGTAGTGGTGAGGGGTCCTTTATAGGTTTCAGTGATTCACAGCACACACCTGCAGTCATACTGCCTCTGATTCCCAGGTGTCGAGAATGGGGGGAAGGATGTAGAAAGAATCTTGCATTTGAGAAAGGAATACATGACCTTGAGAGTATAGTATGAATAAGGAGGACAGGCCTGTTGGGGACCAGCCATGTTAGGACCATGGAGATTATAGAAATATAAGTAAAGAGTATGAAGATGCAAAAATAATAAATCAGAAAACATAGACTAGTAATGGAGGGGAGTTCCAGCGAATACTGAAGTTGCCCATGTTTAATTTCCAATTGCTTAAAATACCCCGACCCTAAGAGGTAAGAGTAAGATAAAAAAACTGCATTAACGGTGAGGGGGAGGGAAATGGGAGGCAGTGGTGGGGAAGAGACAGAAATCTTCAATAAATAAATTAATTAATTAAAAAAATAAAAATAAAAATCCAAAAAAAAACTGCATTAACATGATACAAGGAAATGAACAGACCAGTTGAAGGTTGCCGGCTATGTTCATAGTTAAACATTCTGTTGCTAGAACAAAATAAGTCATGTTTATACCCTAGACCAAACATTTTGTAGGAAACCACTCCCTGGTGGAATCCAGTGTTATCTCCTTAAGGGAACTGGAACTTTAGTTGAATCCTTTTCTTTTGTTTGAGGTGGAAAATACCTACTTCTCTATTCCTGAAATACAAGGTCTGGATATTAACCACACATGTTGACAATAATCTTGAGAAATCAGAACTCTCTGATCTAAATCTAGGTGGGACCTTTTTTTGAGGTGGAAACACAATAACCTTGAAGGAACAGAGTTCCAACTCTCTGGCCTTTGGTCAAGGTGGAAAGAGGCTCACATTTTTTGGGCCTCTACACAGGCCCATTTAGTTGGTGTGAATCTGTCATAAAGTTGAGAGTGTGGTGGCCTGGGGACAGTATGTAGAATCAGCTGGAGGGAGAAAGAAGATGCAGCTACAGATAAGCATGATCTGAAAAGTGTAAGGTCTGGATTGTAACAAGTTAACAGGATCCGTTATTTAGTAGTAGAGGGCAATTTGGTCCAGGGAGATCCATGAGACAGGGGAAACTCAGCCCACATGTAATTCCAGAAGTCTTAAACTAGAGTTAAGGATAATTGAAGTTTTTATGAAGTTTTATGAACTGCTAAAAGGAAAAAGGGAGAAAACCTCCCCAAACTATGAGAATGGTCTCTGAATGGAGACCCTTCTGGTCCATCAGTCATCAGAAATGCCAAAAAGTCATAGTTAAAGTCTTGGAGAGAAGGATATACTTTAAATGGGAACACAAATAGCCTTGAGTGAATGAGCCATTTGAGCTGACTTTACCAGACACCCAGAATTTCTCAGGGTTCAGTATATTACAGGTTGTGATGGAGGGACAGAAACAGCTTCAGAAAGAAAACAGGGACAGATGAAAGGGCAGAGGAAGAGGCAGGAGTCTGCCTTCCACCATCTTTTATAATTATCAAGGTGAACAGCACTCAGCGTACACATGACTCTTCGACCTTGAGAGCACCTCCCCTGGAACTGGGCATGTGAACGTGCTAGAATGGGAAGTTTCTCATTCATTTATGTCTCCAGTTCTAATTAGACAAGAATTGAAAAAGCAGGGGTCTTAGTACTTTCAACATTCATGGTACTTCATGGTTACATACTTTAAATATTTTGGTTGTTAAAATAAGAGCATGGAAGAAGCGGGTACAGGGGGATAGTGGGAAGAGGGGAAATGAGAGCACAATATAATGCTGTGTGTCTATTAAATGTCACAGTGAAACCCATCAGTTTGAATTAAATGCTAACTAAACAATGAACTTATGAAAAGGAAAGATAAGAAGAATATAAAATAGTTCCTTACATTTTTCTTGAACTTGGAGTTTTCTTGTACACATGACTTCATTCATGAGTTGCTTCCTTGCTTCTCTTTCAAGGGCCAGCTCCCGGTCCTTCTCAGCCAACTTCTTTGCCTTTATCTCCTCTAGTATCCTGTCTAGTTCTTTCTCTTGGGCTTTTTCTTCCATTCGTAGCTGTATTAGATAGTCATTGTATATCTTTTGTTCTCTTCCCATGTCTTCCTACATAGCATAAAATTTAATTCATGTTATTATAACACAGCAACAAGAGCAAGTTTATATATTTTTTAGCCATAAGTATTTATTAAGGAAGAGGGAGAAAGAAAGAAAGAAAGAAAGAAAGAAAGAAAGAAGAGATAAAAGGAGAGAGGAGAGATAAAAGAAGAGAGAGACAGAGAAAACGCGTGCGCATGCCAAGGAAGCAGAAAGAGGAAGCGCAAGTTTATATTTTTAATACTTGGTATCTTAGGGTTTTTATGGCTGTGAAGAGACATCATGACCATAGCAACTCTTATGAAGAAAACATGTAATTGAGGTGGTGGCTTAGAGTTTCAGAGGTTCAGCCCATTATCATCATGGCTGGGAGCATGGCAGTGTGCAGGCAGATGTGGTGTGGTAGCTGGAGCTAAGAGTTCTACATCTTGCAGGCAACAAGAAGTCAATTAACACACCAGGAAGTATCCTGAGCATAGGAAATCTCAAAGTACTCTCCAACTGTAGGCAGAGGCTGCTTGTTTGTTCCTGGCCACCCAGACCCAAAATAACCACACAGAAACTATATCAATTAAAACATCACTCAGCCTATTATCTCAGGTTTCTTATTAACTAACTGTTACATCTAAATTAACCCATTCCTATTATTTTGTATTTTACCATGAGGCTTATGGTTTACTGGTAAGGCTCTCTAGGGTCTGTCTCCTTCGGCAGCTACATGGTGTCTCTTTGACTCTGCCTACTATCTCTTTATATCTCTTTCAGTCTGGCTATATTCTGCTTGGCTGTAGGCCAAAGTAGCTTTATTCATTAACCAATATAAGCAACACATATACAGAAGGACATCCCACATCACCCCGCAGTGACACACCTCCTAGAACAAGGTCATATCCACTCCAAGCAAGTCACTCCCTATGATATTATATTCCAACTACCACATATGATAATTTATTTGTTATATGAGTGTGTAATGTGTTTGAGTGGACACATATGTGCCATGGTGTATGTGTGTGCACACTTGTGTTGGGGGAGGAGGATCAAAGGACAACTTTCAATAACAGGCTCTGTCTTTATACCTGGGGATAGAACTCAAATCAACAGGCTTGATATTAGACTCCTTTACCTGCTGAGTCATCTTGATAACCCCAAGGGCAGCCTAAAAGGCAGTCTTCTAAAAGGTCCCATCCTAATCTTGTGGTGCTATATACGTAAGCATTCACTGATACACTATTATGTCTGGGATTTACTTCAAAGGACTCAGAAGTAGATTGTATACAGGTATAGACAAGACAAGAATGGACTTTCAATGAAATTTGCTAAAAAGCTTGTTAAGGACACAAGGGGGCCCAAACATTCTCTGAATCTTTTTTAAATGTTTGACAGCACATTTTTGAGTAAATTGATTCAAATTCTTTCTCAAAGAGTTTCCTAAAGCAGTTACCAACACACTTTCAATGGGAATACTGCTACTCTACAATGGGGTTGTCTGGAATATCAACAAGGAATGACCTAAATAACCCAGAAAGAAACATTTCACTAAGAGACTAAGTGAGGGCAAATAAGAATGTAAAAACACTGCTTAACATCATTAACCATTAGGGAAATACAAATTAAAGTCATATGAGCTATTTGGCAACATGTACCATAATAAAACAAAAAGAATGACAATATCAAATGCTAAAGAGAATGTGCAGAAACTGGGGTGCTCCTGCACTGCTGGGGGACTAAAGCTATCTTTTATAGTCTTACCTCCCTTCCTCTCTTCCCTTCCTTCCTTTCTCTGTTGGAAACTGAGCTCAGGACTTTGTACCATGAAGCACAGAGAAAAACTGCCCATAGACTGTCAACTCAACAGTCAATCCTGACTGGCATTTAGTAGGCACTAAACAAATGTCTTACTTTCTTTTGCTTATTCTTCTCTGCCTCCTCTTGCAAGTTTTGAAGGGCCCTTCCTACAAGCTTCATATTCAAGTCCTGCTCCTCTTTGTACTCCTGCCGCATGGACTCTATCTTGTCTTCCAAGGCTTTTTTCAAGATGTTCCTAGTTTCCAATTTTGTCTTCCGTTTCCGGAGCTTCTCTTGTTCATTCTCTAGCTTAACTTGTGCATTGTTCTGCTCCTAAGGAGGAATAATGAAGATGAATCAGCATAGTTAAGCAAGCTGTAGTAAGGAGGCTGTTTGCTTGTCCTGGCCACCCAGAACCAAAATAATCACACAGAAACCAAATTAATTAAATCACTTCTTGGCCCATTAGCTCTAGCTTCTTATTGGCTGACTCTTACACATTAATTTAACCAATTTCTATTAATATGTGTATTGCTACATGGCTGTGGCTTACCGGCTAACGTTCCATCCATCTCTGGTGGGGCTACATTTCTTCTAACTCTGCCCTTCTTTCTCCCAGCATTCAGTTCAGTTTTCCTGGCCTAGCTCTGTTCCCCTATAGGTTGCTATAGGCCCAAAGAAATTCCTTTATTAACCAATGATATCCACAGCATACAGGAGGGAAATCCCATGTCACCTCCCCTTTTCTGTTTAAATAAAAAAGGAAGGTTTTAATTGTGACATAGTAAAATTACATATACTTTATCTTTTATCATAACTAAGGAAAACTCTAACTATAAATTCTTCAACTCCATCAAAGATTCCAGAAAGATATAACATTACCTAAGTAAACATGAAGTGCATTGTAAGCAACTTCCTAAGCTCTAGAATTGACAGAGACATCTTGCTGCCTCGACAGTCACCCAAAGTTTCTTCTGTACCATTGGAGCATCCATCTTCAGCCTACAGTTCCATAGTATCTAGTAGACTTTTCCACGAAGCAGGAAGTTTCAAAGACAGTTCTACCTATATTGGCAGTATTCAGTCACATTTTTCTGTGTCCTGCAGAATGTCTGGCAGACCTTTTCAGGAAGCAGGAACCCTGAAGGCCGGTCTCACCTTTAGTCAAGTTCAGCAGTCATTTTTCTGCAGGTCCTGCATGTCCAGTTCATCAAGCAATTCAGGCAAGAGCAGTTTCTTGCCCAAACGGCTAACCAACTCCTTAAGGAGCCTCTTCAAATGCCTGTCCATCTTCTTCTTGAAGTAGATTGGTGTTGCCAGCAGCAACTGTGTCTCATTGTCATAAAAAGTTCTAAATTCTTAAAACATTTAAATGCCATATTCTGAAGGTCTCTGAATGATTTGAAGAATACCTAACTGAAATATATCTCTATTAACCTATATTCTTAATTATACATTATGTTTTAAATGAATTACATAATTAATCAAGAGCAGAATTATACATATAACAAGATTAACTTTAAATTTGCATAAATAAACCAAGATCTATACCAGTTCAAATCTTTATAGCATATCCCCTTTTAAATATAAAGAAACATTTAAAACAATATTTGGGAATGTGGGTTTAGTACTCTCCACACTACTTTTTGTTGTTCATTGGGTGAAATAATTTTTTTGGGGGGGGGGTATTCAAGGCAACCTTTCATGGGGTCTTGGTCCATCAAGCCACATTAGTCTAGAAGGATTCCATAGGTTCTCATCCTCTGTGGAAACAAAAGAAGAACCTCTTTTCCAAAGCAACATATCCTTAGACTCAAATATTAAAGTCAAGATACCTTTACGTTGGTTTAGCTTAGCAGCCTGTACAATGAAATGTCTTTCTGTACTTAGCTCCTTCACAGTCAAAAAATTCAAAGAAGACACAATACACATAATCCAGACTCTGTGAATGTTCCATCTTTATGTGGCTTATTTATTTTTACTCTATTTTACTTCCTTTTATAACTCTCTATACTCTTTTTCTTCTCTCTCCCAAGCCTATGTACATTTATCCAACACTGTGACCCACTTAGAGGTCTTTTATGTCTGAATCTGTCCTATTGTGTATCTGTAATTCTTTACTATCTAGGAGTGCTTCTAAAAATGCTAAGTGCTCCTTAAAAAATTAAAGTGCGCCACTGCTGGGGAAATATGGCACTGCCTGCTTGCCCCACCCAGTTTAGCATGGCGGAGCTGCTTGCTGTCTCCGAGAGCCATGCACAAAATTCCCCATTTCTAGACACATTTGTTGTCACCAAGCAAGCCATAACACGTTGCTCACAAGCCCCATCCAAATGCTTGGCCTCCTGAAAGAGCCAGAGGTTGCACTGGCAGCAGGGCCAGAAAGCTGGCATTTCAAAATGGCACAGCTTTTTTCCTGCTGATGCTGAGTCAGGAAAACCTCTCTTGAAGGAGCTGCGGCACGCCACCAACAAACAGCATGAAGCTGTATTAAACTCTGTATTTCTGTGTCTAGAATTCCTTTTCAAGTCCTCTCATGTTTTAAGTGGATTTTAGTTGGCCACATGGGAGTTAGAAAAAAGCCATGGAGCCACTGCCAGTGACAGACGTGCTGAAACTTTGCTGGTAAGCCACAACCTGGTGGTATGCACAGATTAATGGAGATGGATTAAATTAAGATGTAAGAGTTAGCCAATAAGAAGTTAAAGCTAATCGGCCAAGCAGTGATTTAAATAATATGGTTTCTGTGTGATTATTTTGGGGCTAAGCAGTTGGGAACCAACAAGCGCCCTCCTTACTACACAAAGCAAGTGAGTTAATGCATTTTCTCTACATTGGTGAGGCTAAAGGATTTCTTAGAAATATATACACACAGCTGCATCTAGAGGGATTGTAGAAATGGAGCTTGCTTTTTAATAAAGCTGAGCCAGAAATAAAGCTTTACAGGAATTGTTGTGTGTGTGGTTGTAAAGTGATAAGTAGGTGTGTATCCAAAAATGACCAAAAAAAAAGTAAATGTAAATGACCTTTGACCCCAAGTACTCATCACTCACCACTGTGCTCAACATGCCAGCCCCCACTCTTCCCGGGCCATATGCTTCTATGCACACCTGTACATCTAGACTTGAGTGTACTGCTAAGAAACAATGATACTTCAAAGTGGAAATATGCTTAATGGACCAGCCCCTAGCTCCAAGTCAGAAAACTGTATTAGCCAGTTGGAAACTGCTACATTCATAGAACCCATCACCACATCGCAAGCATATGAAAGGGCTCACCAGGAAGCGGGCCTCCTCTTCCTTCATCTGCCTGGCTGCCTGCCTTTGCGCCTGCAGGCTAGTGACCTGAGCATCCAGCCCCAGGCGTGTGTTTTCCACCAGCTCCCTCTGTCTCCTCTCTTCTTGAGCTTCTCGCGTTTCCTTGGCTAGTCTGTCTTCCTCCCAGAGCTTTGCATACATCTGCTCTTCCACCAGCTTCTGCCTCTTCAGCTCCTCGTTGAATGCTATCTGTGCCTCCCGTTCCTCAATCACCTTTTTCTCGTGGATGCTGACCAGTTTACTGCGGAGCTCCTCACAGCGTTCCCTGGAAGGGAAATTTAAAAAGGCAAACCCAGCATTTCACAGTGCTGTGTCTAGGCATACATTTACACAGTAATGCAGAGGAGAAAGGGAAGTCGGAACAGCCCAGACGCAGGCCACCAGGACAGAGGAAATGTGAGGAAACCACGGGGAGGGAGGCAGGTTCCAGAGAAGGCCACTAAGATACAGGTGCTGCCATCAGCCAGAATCAGCTGCTCTGCCACCTCCTGTGTGACTTTGGATCAAACGTTTAACTTAGATGTGTAGTGGTGCATGCCTCTAGTACCTGAAAGCAGAGGCAGGCAGATCTCTGTAAGTTCGAGGCCAGCCTGGCCTACATAGTGAGTTCTGGGACAGCCAGAGCTACATAGTGAGACCCTGCCTCAAAAAGAAAACAAAACAAAAGGAGTGAACTTATGTGGGCCAGCTGCCTCAATGTAGTCCTACCAGCTGTTCCTGCATCCTGTGCTCCTGGCTCACCAGAACAGTTTACTCCTCCTCTCGGCCTCTAGAGTGGTGCTTCACAACCTTCCTAGTTCTGTGACCCTTTTTAACACAGTTCCTCATGCTGTGGTGACCCCCAACCATAAAATTATTTTTGTTGCTACTTCATAACAGTAATTTTTCTACTGTTAGAAATTGTGATGTGAATAAATGATATGCAGGATATCTGATATGCAACCCCTATGAAAGGGTTGTTCAACCCCCAGAGGGGTTGAGACCCACAGGTTGAGAACCACTGCTCAGTAGGACGAATTAGGGCAGTGTATTGTTAATGGAAATTCTAAAGAACCATTGTCACAGGCAGAGTTTTTATGGTTCTCTGAACCACATCTCAATCTGATTTTGCTGTTTTCTCATCCTGCTTTCGAAGTGCAGTGAAAATGAACTCTTGGATTACTTTTGTATTCTACCAGTTAAGTGAGAACTTACTCCTAGACCATCTGGTCCTGAACGCAGTTTAACAGGAGATATCCATTTGCTTATTCATGCTCAGGAACTTGAGAACCTAACTGACATTCACTTTCCTTAAGTCAATCAACATAGTATCCAATCAAAGAGTTTGACATAAGTCTCAAAAATATTTATTGAAGGCAGGTGTGTGGCAGTCCTAGCACTTGGGAGGCTGAGGTAGAAGTATCTTGAATTCAAGGCCAGCCTGGGCTACACCATGAGTTCTGAGCTAGCCTAGATTACAAAGTTAGACCTTTTCTGAAAAATGAATGAATTTGGGCTGGAAAGATGGCTCAGCAGTTAAAGGAATGGTTGTTCTTGCAGAGGACCTGAGTTTGATTCTGGCACCCACATGGCTGCTCACAGCTGTCTGTAACTCCAGTTCCAAGGCCTTCTTGGGAACTAGGCACACATTTACATCCATGCAGGCAAAAATGATCATAAACAAAAATAATTAGTCTATTTATTAAATAAATTTTTAAAAGGCTAATAGCTATGTTTTAAACCCTTCCAGGAAAAATATTGAACTTTTCAAATCCCTTCTGAGACTGAGATCTTAAATTAAAAGACATATGAAACTGATAATCATATCATGTGACAATCACTACATTTAAGGACTCAAATTAAAAAAAAAAAGACCAAAATGAAGAAACCAACCTGTGAAATTTAATAGCTGCTGGGCAGTGATGACACATGCCTTTAATCCCAGCACTCAGGGGCAGAGGCAGGTGGATCTCTGTGAGTTAGAGGCCAGCCTGGTCTACAGAGTGAGTTCCAGGATAGGCTCCAAAGCTACTCTGTCATGAAAAAAAAAAAAAGAAAAGAAAGGAAGGAAGGAAGGAAGAAAAGAAAGGAAAAAAGAAAAAAGAGAAATATGATAGCATTTTTAAAATATCTGTTTTTATTCTTTTTAAAAAAATCTTATGTATATGTTTCTGTCTATATGCTAGTATGTTATGTGAGAACAGGTGCCATTGGGGTCCAGAAGGGGGCATCAGATCTCTGGAGTGGGACTTACAGATGGTGTGAGCCACCAGATCAGTGCACTGCAAAGAGAACATGGGGCTTCTGCAAAAGCAGTACATAGTTCTCAACCCCATGGTAGTAATGCCCTTAATGCCTCTCTTAGGCATATAAGAGGCAGTGAAGCTACAACTACAGAATATAACCCCATAGCCCTAGGAAGAAAGAGAAATCATGGGGATTGTTTTGGTGGAAGCTTCGCCTATGCCCCCTCCCTATCTCTCTCCAAACCCTGCCACATCTCAAAAAGCCAGTCAAATGATGACCACCCCCCCAAGAAATGTTCAAGACCACTCCCACAGGGTACTTAAACTGCCCCGCAGAAAACAGACATTGTTGGCAGAGGCTGCTCATTTGCCATCTGCTCTCTTCCTCTCCCCCCCCCTCCTCTCCTCATTCCCTCTCCCTCTACTTCCCATCACCCATCTCCTGTGAGGCCCCCATAGTGTAGTCCCACACACTGCGCTATTTTCTGGCTAAAGTTCTCCTCCCACCTCAAGGGTCCACCATGGTCTTGAAGCTCTTTCTTCTAAGAAGCACCATTGCTGAAGGGCACTATGTGTGCCCGCGCTTCCTTCCCTGGACTAGCAGCAGCAGCTCTGCCATTAGTTCCTTCACTTAACCACCCCACGTTCACATTCTGTTTGTCTGCTCTTCCAATTTATTACCTGAATTGCTGCTCTAATTTTTCAGCTACAAACTCCTGCCTCTCTTTTTCCTTCTTCTCTCTTAACAGCTTGGTTCTCTCTCTCATTCTGTCTTTTTTCTCTTCAATGGTTTCTCCTTTTGCTTGCATTTCAGCAAAATAATTGCTTTCTTCTGATGCTAAAAGTTCACGTAGCCTGAAACAAACAAACAAAAAACTAAATAATTTATTCATAAAATTATCATTCCAATTGACTTTCGTTCTTCTGAGTTATTGTCTATAAATTTTTTAAGAAATAAATGATCACTAAGGGTGAGGAAATAACTCAGGAAAACCCTTGCCTTGCAAGCATGAGTTTTGTCCCCAGAAGCCACTTTGAAAAAATAAAAAAAGAATTGTCTGGTGATCCGAGTTTGACCCTGAGACCCACATAGTGGAAGGAAAGAACCAACTCCCCAAAGTTGTCCCCTGACCTCCATATGCACAATGACATTCACTCCCTCCAATAAATAATGTTTAAAAAAAAAAAAGGTCACACCGTGTGGTTCTCCACAAAATAAGACCTCAATTTGTGCCATATTTTATTTGCGAATATACAGATAAAATATGAAATGCTTATCTTCAAAATTATCACAGTGGACAGATTCTAGTTAAAGAAACAAACCCTAAAACAGTATATTCTTTTTCCATCAAAATGTAGTAAATAATAAAATAAGTGAATAAGTAAAAATAATAGCCAACAATAGTTATTGGTTTTACTATAAAAGTCAGCCATGACCTTCATTTGACTTGATTGTTTCATGCACAATCTTAAAACACTTGTGAGCTGAGACATAACAAACTTGCCCAACATAGAAGAGACCCAGGGTTTGATCCCCAGTGCTCAAAGGAAATAAAAGCGAGTGCTTCCGGTTTGCTTCACAGCCTGGGCTACCAGGTGTGTGAGCCTTACTTATTCCTCCGCTCTTCAGTGTTGATGATAAAGCCTTGCATGGCATCCTTGACTCTTGATCGCACAAGACTGTCAAAGGACTTGCGGTCATTGTGCTGGATCCAGTCAACTCTCAGGCGATCCTGCTCATTGGACTTAATGGAAGCCAAAGTAGTGTGATACTTGTGGTAGCTGCGCTGGATTCTTTTCAGATGTTGTTCAGCCCTTTGAGCCTTGGGAGGCTTGGCCCTCTGAAAACAAATGACAGCTGTCACTCACAATAGGCAGAAATCAAAAGCTTGGCTGTGGATAGAAAAAAAAATTGTGTGCTGTAGAATATTTTAAGGCATGTTACTTTTATTTATGCTCCAGAACATGTATTTAATGATGCAAAAGATGTGTTTGATTAAATAAAATTCGCCTGAGGTCAGGAGGCTGAATCAGCTACTAGCTGACAGGAAGTGGTAGAGAGGAGCCAGGTGGGGAAGGGTTGTTCGGAGGCCCACAAGAGCTTCTGGAGAGATGCCAGGAAAGGAAGTGAGCTACCTGCTATTCAGTCTCTCTGAGGAGCAGAATTCCACATTTGAATCTTGGGTTCTTTAGAGGGACAGAGATTTAGATAAGTTCCTTTCCTGGCTTTGAAAGAGTCCGTGAAAGACTGAGGGAACTTTTGCTCTTGCAGCCTAACGACAACCGTGTCTTAAAACAGCAATAATTTAGCTGGGCAATGGTGGCGCACGCCTTTAATCCCAGCACTCGGGAGGCAGAGGCAGGCGGATCTCTGTGAGTTTGAGACCAGCCTGGTCTACAAAGTGAGTTCCAGGATAGCTGGAGATGTACAGAGAATCCTTGCCTCAAAAAACAAAATAAAAAAAGGTAAAAATTTGAGCATCATTTTGCACCTCTTTCTGTATATTCCTACCAGGTCAACCTGAAAGAACCCCCATATCTGAAAGACCCCCCATGCCCACGTACTATATTAAACTCTGCTGAAATTTAGCTAGCCCCCCCCCCCCATCAGCCGATGCTAAAACTGGATATCTATGGGTTGCAGACTCACTGACTAGGCTAAGGAGAGAAACAGAGTGCTCTATCTAGCTTTGTGGTTTTTCGGGACTGAGGAGAGGGAATACTCCATCCCCAAGACATTCTATCTAAACTGTCAACTTGCTGCAGGGTGTTTTATCTGGCTTTATGGTTTTTTGGGGAAATTTGAGAATAGACATGGGGCCGTCCCCAGGGTGAGCTAAGCCCGCCAATTTGAGAGCCAATGAAATGCTTGTACTATACTACCCTCTTATGTAATCATTTTTCCCTATAAATATGGCTGTTTGAATTTGCCCGGTGTGCTCAGTTGGCATAAGCTGCTGGTGCACACGCAGGCGTCTGTGTAATCAATAAAGACACCTCTTGCTGACTGCATCTGTTGGCCTGAATTATTGAGTTTGGGGGATTTCTCCCACCACCCTTGAAAACGAGGGTCTTTCAAACCCTCCCCAGAAGCTTCTATTTGCAGTGGATTGTGATTAACACAGACACCCACAACTGGCCAAAGTACATAGAATGAGAAACTGTAGAATGTTCGGTCCAAAAGGAAACATGTGCGCTGCACCCAAGCCCCCACCCACTTCCAAGGCTCATGGATAATTTCAGAAGAGAGGGAAGAAAGAGTATAAGAGCCAGAGGCAATGAATGGCAAGCTAACGTCTTCTGGACACAGGAGGGAAGCTGCACAGTGATGGTAACTGCACAGAACATGTGTGAGCCCAAGCCAGACTACATCCCAGCACAGAGAGGGAAGCTGGGCATACAATCCCCTCACTAGCTGCGAGTGAATGGCAACAACTGTCAGCTGCTGGGAGAGAGAGAAAAAAAAAACTTTACTCTGAGAGTGTATCCCTCTTGTGCCCAAAGTCCAGATCCCCAAAGATCACCGAGAGACCAGATCCCATACAAAAACAGAGTCCTTCAATTGTGAGTTTGAATTCAGTTCTCTCGTCCATCTGATGCATCGATGGAGCAGAGGACACCTCAAGCAGTAGTGGGGCAGAGTATTTATTGGGGGTAAAATGGGGGTGTTGGGAGCTGCAGTCCCTCAGACCCTAAACTTTCTATGACCTCTTGCCTGCTGGAGTAAACAACTTGATTTTCTATGTTTGCAGCTGTTCTGAGCACAAAACCCTCATGAGTTCCTGATAACAAGGAAGTGATTTCTGGTGGGCTTGCAGTGGAAAATCCCCAGAGCTAGGGCTTGGACATTAGTCAAGGAGAGTCCTATATAAGCTGTGTGGGAACACAATAAAATGGGCGTTCTTGCTCCAAGAGTGACTCATGTCACTAGGGACATCTCTGAGGGACACCATCCATAAGGCTGGCTAGCAGGTAAGAAAGAGTAGGTGAGAAGGTGAGAGGGTGAATTGTAAGGATGGGAGTGGATTCTTCCAAGTCCGCTCTCGTAAAGGAAGTGCAGGTACTACTGAAAAAGCAGAGTGCCGGGATTAAAAGAAAAACAGCTGAAGAATTCTTGGAAACCCTAGGTAGGGTTAGTCCATGGTTTCTACAGGCAGACACCTTGAACAACCATGACCGGGAACATGTTAAGGAAGACCTACAAAAGGAACTGAGAAAAAAGGGACTGGAGTCCTTTCCCATTGCCACGTTTTTCCTATGGAGGCTGGTTAAAAAGTCTATACTTACTAAAAATTATAGCGTCAAGGAACATCTTAAGGAAGGCATTAGGATACTGGAGAATGTCCAAGACAGAGAATCCTTGGCGTCATGCAAAGGAGATCCAGAGGGAAAAGAGCTGAAGGAGCCTGGGGAAGCTCGGATCTCAGATAGTAGTGATTCCGAGTCATCCTTGGGACCAGGTCTGTTCTCTTGCCTCGCCCCAGGAGAAAGAACCCCTTTTACAAAGCAGCTGACCCTCTGGCTAGTGAGAGAGAGGTAGAGGAGTTGGGGAGACAATTGGCAGAACGTAAGTTAGAAATATCCAGGTGTTCCCTGTTATTGAAACTGTGGAGCCTCAGGGGATAGACAGAGGCTACATCTGCAGTTTCAGTTTAAGGATGTAAGACAGCTTAAAGAGGCCATAACCGCTTGTGGGCCGCATGCTCCCTTTGCCACTGCCTTGGTGGAATCCTACATGGATCAAAATTTGACTCCTAGTGATTGGATGCAACTTTGTAGGGCGGTACTTAGTGGAGGGGATTATTTGATTTGGATGTCTGATTAGCAAGAAAATTGTAGAGACAGCCAGAAGGAACACTACTACAGGGCACCCGAATAGAAGTGTGGACATGCTCACCGGCGCTGGACCGTGTGCTCCACTTAATCAGCAAGTCATGTATGACCCTGGGGTGTATGCTCAGATTGCCACCGCTGTCATAAGAGCCTAGAAAGCCTTGCCTAACAAGGCTGCTAGGGGTCAGTTATCTAAGGTGCTGAAGGGGTCGTCTGAGCCTTATTCAGATTTTGTGAATTGGCTCTCACAGTTAGCAGGAGGATTTTCCCTGATGTTAAATGCCACCAGTTATCAAATAAGCTTATGAGAATGCCAACAAGTATTGTCAGGAGGCTATTCATCCTCACCGGCAATGAGGAAGGCTTAATGATTATGTCAGACTGTGTAAGGAATTGACCAAGACCATATCACCAGGGCTGTGATGGCCGCTGCTCTGCAGTGTCACGGTCTTGGGGCACAGCCCAAGTCCTGCTTTAACTGTGGACAAGCTGGGCATTTTAAAAAACAATGTCCCAACTGCCCCAGAGACCTGTCTTCAGGTAACCCTTGACAACCAGATGGAGCCTCAGGTAAGAAGCAACCTGGCTTGTGCCCCCATTGCAAGAAAGGACATCATTGGTCTAATGAATGTCGGTCTAAGATGGACGCTGATGGTCATCTGTTCTCTGGTCAGTTGGGAAACAGAAGGAGGGGCCCACCCCGGGCCCCATAGCAAGTTTATGGGGCACTAGAGACTTCTTCCATGACATTCACTCCTTAGATAACTGACTCCTAGCAGGAAGGGAAATCATTCATTTTTCTTATGCTTTTATACCCCAATACAAAAGGAGGGAAGAAGGAAAAATACTGCTGTAATATGACACAAAGAACAACCAAATCAGTTACTTACTTCAATACTTCAGACATCCAGCCATTATTTCCGGAGTAAGGCATTTGATGCTTGGGCAGGAATGTTCAGTGAACACACCCTAGACCAAGTATCCTATAGGCAGCCACTCCCTATGTCAAATTTCCAATTTTAAATGAAGGAGCACAGGACTATGATTGAATTTTCTGGCCTTTTGTCAGTGTGGAGCAGATCCACCTCTATGGATCATCTTAATGTCCAAAACACCAAATAACCACACCCTAAGTCAGGGTGTATACCCATACTCATTGTCAACAACTTTGAAAGAACAAAAATAAGCTCAAACTCTCTGACCGCTAGACAAGGTGAAATGTGGGCAATTTTCAGTATTCACTGGAACTCTCTATCCTATGCTTCTGTTTATTATTTTCACTAGAGTCTTCATTCTCTTTACTTATATTTCTAATCCCCATGCCCCTGTCCTGGTAAGTGGTATCCTTGTCGAAGCTGGTCTCCGAGAGTTATAGATATTTTGGGGATAGTTCCGTTTCTTTAAATGTATTCTCTTTGCACAATGGTCACTCAGAAGCTGGAGGTGTGCATGCAGTTTGACTATATAGTAACACACCAAATGAAATCTCCTTAGCTATATCTTTATCATTTCTGTTTTGCTAGCCTTGAGCCCCCTCATCCCACATTAGCCTCTCAATGTGACTGAGTGAGCAGTGTTTCTAGTCTCGGTGCAGTGTCTGCACCTCCTGATGCCATCAAGGAATCAATGGTCTTATCTTATGACCTGTTTTATCCAGTCATCTCTGGTGAGGTGTGGCACGTGGGTGCTTATTCATAGTAATAAACCCAGAAAGCACAAGGCAGATCCATTCCGCTGAGTTATATTTAGAATATAAGTGCCAGAATGACCAGATACTGGGGTTTGTCACTGTGGTAAAGCATTCAAAGGAAACAAACACAGCATCCATCCAAAGATAAAACTGATGAAATGCTTCAGGTACACAAAGAGGCACCTAGGTGCAGCTGACAGGATGAAGCGGGAAACAGCCCAAGAGGAGAGTCTAGAGTCAGCTAATTCAACTACTATTCTCTAACATTCCTGGTATTTTATGTGTGCGGATTCTGTGATAGTGAAGTAGAGCAGGGTCACTGGGCAGGAGACACAGAAAGAACTTAGGCTTCGGGTAGACGTGTGTGGACTGAGACCACCACCCAGGCCAGCTAGACGCGGTGGTTGCCACCGGTCAGGACAGGACTCAAGACCTGAGGTGCACTTTGACTAAAGCGGGCAAGAAGAGTTGGTGAGACACAGCATGAGTGGTAGCTAGACCTGGAAGCCCTGGAAGGCTTGGGGCATTGAGACATGTAGCTCAGGCTGGCTCAAGTTCTCGCTTAACTGATCATCCGCCTCTGCCCCCCAAATGTTGTAGTTACAGGCTGTGCCACCATGCCTAGCTGAGTTCCCAGTCTCTGGATGAAGAAGGTGGGACCTTGAGTTGTCTAAAATGGAAAAAGGTGATGCCAGTCAAGGTACAGGCTTGTCACTGACCAAAACCCACACTGTTCAATAGAAATAGAATACAAAACAGACACACAACTTAAGTTTTTCTTGCAACTGAACTGGTTAAAATAATTTTGATAATATAGTTTATTTATCCAGTATATCCAGAATATTATCTTTTCAATATGTGACTCTGAGCATTTTCAACTAACACATTTCCAGAAGGGAAAAGTCATGCATGGCTAGCAACTACAATAATGACACTAACCCTCCTAGGACACCAAAAGAAGATCAAGGAAGGACTTTGCTATGACAACATCTCAGGTTCCTATTTTAAAGAACAATACCCCCATCCAGGCTTGGTTCTGACCTATACTCTAGGGTTTCTCATCTGTTAAATGAGAAAAAGAATGTGCTAGTGGCTGACTCCATCACCTTCTTAAAAAATTGCTTTTTCCTACGGAATTTCTGAGGGTCCAAGCTTCATCAATTACCTCTCATTTCTAGTCACTCACTTAGACACCAGAGAAGAAGAAACAACTCTGGCTCTTTTGCCTCCTCTTTTCACAGTATTTAGTGGCCTGCTTCTGCTATAGCAGTTTGTTTTTCTTCTCCCTGTTCCTTGTGGTTATGAACATAAATAATAGTCGCCAACAAATGGCCTGGATCCCAAATGCTGCATTGAGATACAAGACCCAAAAGTGTTTGAGTCTGTTGTCCATGAAGTTATCTTGAGCTTTGAAAGCCCACAGCAGTTTCCAGACTACTTTTTTCCAGATTCAGATTCTAAAGTCCTGGGACCTAGAGAAGAGGGAGTTCTGTAAGTAGAAATATGGAACGCGCCTACGGGCCATAATACAACTGTATTTTTTTTTAAGATTTATTTATTTCTTATGTATACAACATTCTGCCCGCACACCAGAGGAGGGCGCCAGATCTCAGTACAGATGGTTGTGAGCCACCATGTGGTTGCTGGGAATTGAACTCAGGACCTCTGGAAGAGCAGTCAGTGCTCCCAACCTCTGAGCCATCTCTCCAGCCCACAACTGTATTCTTGATTAGCCCAAATCTTACTTTCTTCCACAAGTTGCCACCACAGTAAACATAACCTATTACCTACTTTTAATGGCTTATTTAGGAGGAGGCTGTTTCTTCACCATGTGAAGGGGGGTTTAATAAAGGGGGTCACTGGATTTACCCCCATTAATACTATACACCCAGTAGTGGTTCCAGCCATAACTCTGATTACATATGACTGATTTTCTAATCTGTAGAAACAAGTATTCAGGAATTTAAAAAAAAAAACATATGCATGGAAGAGAAGTGTCTGTATTGCTAGCAAAATTCATTTTAAATTCCTTTCTTATCGGCAACCCGTACCAGTCCATTGTAGGAGGCAACTAACTGACTTATTTTCAGTCTGTAGGAGCATTGTTGTCCAACACCAGCTACTCATTTATTTAGCCGGCACAGGAACATCCCACTATCACACACAACATTCAAAGCCCAATTCCCTTTCTATAGACTGTTTTCATAGGGTCACAAGACCATCCCAAAGTTGTCCCGTTGAACCATATAGCCAGTTCAGATCCAGAATCAGCCTCTTGGCCCAGTGCCCTTCCAGAATGCTCCCACACCCAAGCTCACGGCATTTGGGGGATACTAAAGGAAAAACAAAAACACCAAGATCCCAAGTGGTGATTGTAGTTGGAGGTTGGAGTGGAAAAGGATGGGATGGATGTGGGCAGCGAGCAACAACCGTTTCTTCCCCAAAGCCCGCTGCTTCTGGAACCTGCTTCCCAGGTGAAAGAACTGGTCAGGCTTCACCAGGAGACGGAAAAGGTCTTAGGTTTTCCCGCACAAATATCCTGTTACTTACAATGATCACCGCCTTGGGAGTGGGACCCTTAAATTCCCTTGGGACAATGCCAAACCGCTGGCTGTACATCTTCAAGTCTCCTTGGAATGGTGACTACCGGGAACCGCCAAGCCCAGGGTAGTCTGCTTCCACAACGCAGAGGCCAGTTGCCATGGTGAGCCACCCCTCCCCCGCAGGTGGGCGGGTCAAGGGAAGTAGTCCCTAGTCACTTTGCTGTTATCACCCCGCCCTGGCAGGAACTCCTCCACCCCACCTCCTTCTCTTCCTCCGGGGCTCGCCAGAGGCGGAGAAAAACAAAGAAAAAAACTCTAACTTCTAAGTCAAAACACAATCCAGTGATTTTGCTAGTTATCGCCTGCCTATAATTGATCTAAGAGCTTGAGAAAGGTTAAACTTTCTACCACCTTGAAGTTAATCTTGATGTAATAATCACATGGCAACCTTATGCTTGAGTAGGTTTTTTCTTTTTTACAATTTGCAAAATATTTTCAGAAACAACCTTTGAGATTGACAAGAATCTTACAAGGTTGAAAGAACGGAAGGTATCATTAGCATTTTTTTTACAGTGAAGTCGATTAGGGCTCCAAGAGCCTAAGTGCTATAAATAGAGCCACACAACCAGTACGGCGAAGTCTTCTACGGCACTCTACAGAAAACGGCTTACACTTGGGGTGAACACAGGAAGCAGGCAGCTCCGATGTACTGGTGGGGCAGTAATCTTACTGGGTTGAACACAAAAACTCTCAATGGAGCAATCAGAATGGATCTGAACTGTGGCTCACAAGTTCAGCTGCTCAATTCTTGAGAATGAGGATCCCAGGCAAAACCGGCAACAGTCCAAGGAACTGGATAGTCCCGGGGACCGGAGCTGTCGTTCTCATTAATAGTAAGATGGAGTTATAATTTTCAAGAGCCAATTACGAATGCTACTTTGGTACCCCTGTTCTAAAGATGGGGGAGGGGCAGTGACAAGGTGACTGGTGGGCACTACTAGTTGGAGTGCGGCTCATGGATACACCTCTGAAGGTCGGTTTTTTCAAATTAGCATGCTTAATTATTTGTAACCCAGCCACTTCAGATTTTCTATACGGTACATCTCTAGACTTGGGGTCCATTTCCTGAATTCTGGGTTCAGCTTTTCAGCCATAAAAGAATGTCTTTCTTCTCTTAATAATTGTTTTCTCGCCTACAATATTTCTTCTTTCAACTGCAGCTCAGTAAAATACTCATTTTCATTTACTGCTAACAGCTTATGTAGCCTGAAACAAACAAAAAAGAAAAAAAATTAAGAGGCTGTCAGGGTTCCCCGACAATGTCCAAAGAGGTACCTCCTTCATCTGAGTGGTTCTACGTGTTGGACTTTTAGGTGGGTCTCCCCTCGCCCCCAGCACACACACCTTCTGCAGAAGTGAAGAAACCTTTGAGCAGGGTTTGTGAAAGACCCCAGAAATTGGGGCTGCCTGGTCCACATCCTTGAGATCTGTGTGGCCACAGAAGTCCTGTTTGTGAATTTGGGGAAGCTGAGCCTCAGAGGTAGCCAGCTGCTTGCAGCATCACACCGCCATGCTGTACTCCAATGGCAGAGCAGTCAGGTGATGATCCTGGTCAGGAGACTCAGCTTAGACTGTTCCACCATCCTCTGAGGAATGGAAGTTGCCTCTCCGACATCAGGAAGTACGGCTGGTGCAGGCTCTGCCCCAGGGTGCCTGGCACCAGCTTTGGAATCTATCCAATGGTCGTCTCAACCAGCCTGGACCTGGAGGAGCCTTATGGACTATAAGGTGGATCAGGAGCAGCGCAGTGCCTCAGCCTGCAGCCCCCCCGATCTGAATGAAGCCTAGGGAAATGACAGAGCTGATGTTCATCTTGCCACCCACTATCCCAATTCTTCCACAGCGGTCCACACTGTTCCCACCACCAAACAATCCTCAAAGAATCACTAACATAAAAACCAATAAATAGAACAAGAAAATTGTTTTAAAATAATTTTAAAATAGAACAGTTTAGAAATAGAAATGATTGTTTCCAACTTCTCACGCATCTTGAAAAAGGACTGGCTTCTCCATAGTATATTAGATTTTATATTCTGAGCATCAAAGTCCATAAAAAACTGGAGATCTTTTTATCATTTGTAATATATATTGATGCATTTTATAAAATTGCATTTTTGGATCTCAATATCATGTACAGTGATAACTATGGGCCAAGTTTTCCATACTTGGATGAATGACAAAAATACAGCTGAGACCAGCAAGATTGTTATGGAGGAGCTTGACAGGGTTTCTTTCTTTGCTGGGACCATCATGAAATCCATGGTCTTCAGCTTTACATTTTCAGCTTATCCTTGGGTAAGTGGTGAGACCTTTGGGAGCTGAATCATGGAGGGTGGCTTTCTAACATGTCACCTGAACTAGACTATGCTTCCCAGAATCCTTCCCCATAGACGTCTAGTTAAGAAAATTCACAGAAACATTGTGATTAGCAGAAGTGAAAGAGCAGCAGGCTGTTGTGAAGTTGGTGCACGAATACCAGGCGTACTGCAGTTCATACAAGCGGTCATTAATCTGCTGTCTCACCTTGGTATGGGGAAACAGCAAATCCTACAGCCAGGCCTCCAGCTGTTACAACTTCCCTGGGATCTTCCTTCAGCTTATCTAGTCCTAGGCCAGATGCTACTTCCACTAGCTTCTTCTTCAGGACACAAACATCATCGAAGCGGGAGACGGTGAGACACTAACATGGATTTCAGGCCATCTTGAATTCCAACTCTTGTTCATGGGCCCCCATGGGTCCATCCACCTTCCCTTCCTCACTGCCTGTCCTGAATATTTTGAGCTCAAGTATTACATACAACTGACAGTCTTAGAGGCTACTAAACTATCTCCCAAAATTACACAATGTAAAATGTCTCCCAAAACTCCCCTAAAACACATAGTCTTTGTTACAGTGGTTCTGACCTTTTGACTGTACCCGAGTCAATACACATAGTAATCAGAATCTTTGTTCACAAGTCAAATGCCAACCAAGATGTTACCCTTAGAACATCACTGTCAGAATGATCAGAATACTAGGGACAAGTGGTATGCTCTAGGGGTTAAAAAGCAGTATGACTCCAGGATAGAATTAGGCAAAGCAAGGCAAAGGAAGAGTAGAAGGTGGCAGAGAGCTGTGCCTTGTAAGTCAGAAATAAGAAATGAGTAATCCACATCTGAATTACCTAAAGCAGCAGGGCTTGGGACTAGGTTAAAGCAAGGGGGGCACACAGGACACAAAGTATGTCGAGGCACTCAGTCCTGGCCCTGTAAACCTGGCTAAGTAACCAGTTCTCTATCTTTTTGGCATTTTAAGGATGGAAAGTGAGGTAAGGCTGAGCCAAGACCAGCCCTTGGGCGGGACTCAGTGCATAAGCTCATTCAGCCTCCTAACAAACATTTGGGCTGAGGGCAGGAAACATGCACAAAGGTCATCAGAGAGAAGATACTGCCTGGAAAAGACGGCCCAGGCTGACAGCTTTAGTTCCAAGCACTGCTCTGGCTAAAGTGAGACTATCTGGGCTCAAGCAAATTGTCAGCCAACAGTGAGGAAGAACGCACTTTTGGGGCTGAGGGATCCTATGCAGCATATGGGGCCTTCAGGGAACCTAGATTCTACATGAACCAATGCTCTGACGAGAAGGTGACCCCATCCACCCACAGCCTAGGCATTCCCTAACATCAACTGAGGCAAAGGTGTAAAGGATATTTTATACTCTTCGTAGTAATCTATCGCTACTTTCAAAGTCACTAAAACTGTTATTGTAATATACATTATTGCACAAAAGACTGCAGTTAACAGTTTAGTGGATTAAAGAACAAAGCTTGTATAGCCTGGTGGATTTCTAGACTCTACCAACACTAGCTGTTTGACACTGATACGTTTGTCTCCTCTGAGTCTGTTTACCTACCTGCAGAAGTGCTCAATATCACTCACTCACTGTCTTCCTAAGGACTACTGTGAGGGTTCAGTAAGTGGCTCCACGGGAGGAGCTCACCAAACAATGTCTTTTCCTCCTTTATTCTGTAGCATTTCAACTGCTGTTTCCCTGAGAAAATGTGCAGACACACTGCCAGGTCTCATCCGGAAGCCACCAACAGTTATGAAGATGGCTTGTTTGAGTTGTTGGTAGTGGCTTCGATCATATCCTCCCCTCCCCTATATCCACCTTCTCATCACACTGAGATCCTTGGAGGAGCGGACGTTCTCCCAGCCTTCTACTCTTTCTCTTCTCTCCAGCTTCTTTCCTCTAAGTTTCCAGGCCTGGGCAGGCCTGTTCCTCGATTGTGCTTGCAGGTCTTTCTCCTAGAGCTGATTCACCAACAAGCTCTGCGACCAGGCCAGGGCCCGGCCCCTGGTAGATCAGGGTTGTTTCTCATAAAGCCGGTGTGCAAATATCACCTTCAGTCCTACAGTCAGCAGAAGTCTCCAGTCTACTGCATTTTAGCTTCAGGTTTTTTAAGGTCCTTGGACCTAGAGAAGAGGGAGCAGGTCTGTCTGTTGAATGAGGTTTGCCATGTAGAAAACAGAGCATCACAAAACCATTTCCTCCTATTCTGCACCTGCATCCATTTCTCCTTGTTCACCTATAGCCACTTTTCTTTCTTCTACAGACTAGAAAGGCAAACAGTACAGCACTTCTCTGTTAAGTGGGGAAAGTTTCATCTTCCAGAAAATCCTAAGCTCCCGGAAGCCAGGGATGCTGTATCTTCTCGGGGGTAAGCCTTACAGGCTGCAGTAGCATCACCAGTGGAAGCCCCAAAAGCTGTGTGCCAGGCAGGGTGTCAGTCATCTCCACCTGCCATCTACAAGGTACACTAGCAGATTTTCTAGCAGTTAAAACTGATGTATGGGAACAAAGGAATCCAGGTGCTTGGCCCAATAGTTTGTTTTTGTTTTTTAACTTTGGGGTGGTCCTCCTCCCACTACCACAATGGCATCTCTCCTCACTTCTGTTACTAGACTTACAGGGACAGTTCTACACAGTATTCAAAACAGTAAAACTCAACAGGAAATGCTTGGGACGCACAGCCCAAATCTACCCACAGACGCCACTCTAGGAAGTGGGGGATATACTTGAAATCACACAGCTACACACAGGCTTAGCTTGCAGAGCCACTTAAAGCCCAATCCCCAAACCAACTCCACTGCCTAGGCAAGTCCAATGTCATCTGTGTGACATACATTCTTCCCACCATCAGGGACAGCTCACCCAATAAAGGGCTCTGGAGACATCACAGGCCTTCAAGACCACAAATGGTGATCTTCTGAGTAAGAACGTGTACACCAAGTCTGACCCTTAAAAGGATTTCTTACATAGGCGGGGACCAGCCTCACTTTTTTCTTTGAAATCTCAGCATGGAGCATAAGTCCTTCTCTTTCTTCCCCAAGAGAGCCCTGGAATACCAGCAGGCTGGGTCTCAGGAGTAATCTTTACAGACCTACCTGCGCACGTGCGCGTGCACACGCGTGAGCGCACACACACACATACCCTTACTGGTTGTGCAGTGTAATGGTTACAGTCCTTATGTCCCTTTGCACCCAATCAAATTGCTGACCCTAGATTTAAAACTCAGGGCCCATATCTGGCCGGCACCTACCCCATTCCCCACACCTAACTGTATGGGGCACACCTTGGCCACCAAGCTGCTATGTCCCGGAGGCGGGTTCCACCCAGGCTGAAAATCTCTGTGATCTAGGAAAGAATTAACATATCATGGGTCAGTATGACAGGAGGAGAAAAGGTAAGATCAGGGTAGGGTGGGAACATCCCCAGCACTGACCACTGGTGTGCCAACCCCTCCTGTCTCCTCCTCTGGGGCTGATGCAGAAACATAATCTTCTCTGTTTTCTTCTCTATCCTCCTCAGGGCCAGGGGGCTCTTGTTTCACAGGTGGAAGGTCTGGATCTACTGCCTAGGAGAATGAGGAAGGGCAGCAGTTAGGACAGGGCCAGGCTGAGTATTTTTTATTATTATATTATTGTTGTTGTTATTATTATTATTATATATGCAGACAGACCTCCCTTTTATCACTGAGAAATGCCACCTCTGCCTGTAAACCTTTCCCATTCCTCAATGATTTTCAGTCCCCTGGGAGCTGAGCAGCAGAGCAGGTGAGGTGCCTGCTGGACATGCTGGACAATTCAACAGAATGCGCACCATCACCACCCGCGGCCCCACCACCACAGCTCTCTATCAACTCGCTTACAGGCCACCTGTGTGCACCCATTACCTCCCTAACCTTGCTAGGGCAGCCAGACTGCAACGTGGGAGAAGTCAGGAAGGCTGTGCCTGCTGTCCACTCCTCTGGGGCATCCGCCTTCTCTTGCTTCACCTGTGGCAAGGTCACAACCCAACTCTGGGCAGAGCACTGGGCCTCCTGCATAAGGGAGGATGGCAGCAGACTTGGTCTCAGGTCCATGGCACAAGGCTGGGTGGAGCTTGGAAGAGTGGGAGGAGATTCTTACCTGTAACGGGGCTTCTGCGGAAGCTGCAGCAGGACCAGGCACCTGCAGAGGACTGCTGGCACCCTCTCGTAAAAACACAAGGTCTGTGTCAGGTGGGGTCGGCACAAAGCCTCTACCTATTTGCTGCTTTGCTGAAGCCTGGGCGGGGCATGGTGGGGTTGTGTGCACAGCCAAAGGGGCCTTTGAAGAGGAGCTTGGACGGAGCTGTCGAGGAGAACCAGGCCTCTTTCGACAAGGGTGACATGGAGGCGGTCCTGCTCCCTCCTCAGACCCTGACCCAGTACTGGGCAGCAGTCGCTTCTGTGAGAACAACGTTGGGTGCTGTGGTCAACCTGGTGCCATCTGACCATACCCACCCTGCCCTACTCAATGTGGCTGCTAACATCCCATCAGAGCACACACAGAATCTGCTGCTTCCGGGAGCTGTCATCACTAAGCCTGCCAGTCAATCTCCTGTCTGCAATGGCAGTACAGCTCAACTCCTCACCCCAGCACACTGTCTACTAATCCTCAACGAGACTCACTACACCACCCACCCAAACAAGGGGGTGGGCCAGGCCCAACCTAGCCCATCCACCTAACCCTCCCTGCCCCACCCACCATGGCAAATTGCAGGCACTGGCGCCAACGACACTTCTGGCGCTTCTGGTTGCTGCCCCCGAATTTGGGCTTGTCGCAGCAGAAGTCGCAGTGGCCACAGTCCATCCGCCGTAGGCAGGCTGCACAGGCCCCGCACTTGCGGTTCTGCCGGTGGTTCGTGTAGGGCTGCTGGGGTGGAGGGGAATGGTGCTACTGTCACTAGGACTAGGAGAGGCCGTCCTCAACACCAATCTCAGGATCGTACTGGTGCTCCTCTAGCCCCATGGAGGAGCCAGCTACACACGAGGCTCAGCCTGCTAACTCTCCTAGGCATCTGTGGCCTCAAAATATGTTGCAACCACTGTGCCAGCTGGCCTCCAAGCCCACTAGGACTGAGGCTGCTCCATTACTTTATCAGTAGAGTACCTGCGATCAGGACAGTGTCTCTGGCCCTCACTTCATCAGGACTTGGCTGACCTTCCATTAGTCCTCATCACTGCCAGAGGTGTTGACTTACTCTACACAAATGTGTTTACCTGCACCCCTGTGAATGGAGATTCAGCCTCTTTGTCCTGCAGCAGCCATTGATGCTGGTTCATCTGACAGTAAGCACCGTACTGCTAGCCCCTCTTCTTTCCCAGCCAATTGCTTATCCCGTCCTAGCACTCACTATTACTCCCTACTAGTCCCATTACAGCATCTACTTCCTTGGGTTAAATAAGCATCAGGAGCATCTAGTTTATCCAGGTAAGGTGGGGCCACTCACTAGCTCGTCCTCGTCTACACAGTAATAGACGAACTCAGCAGGTGATGTGGGCGCTAGGTCGCTGATGTGCTGCAGAGGCAAATGTGCTGGGGTCAGGGCAGGTCCTGAGTAAGTTTAGGGTTGTGCCTTCCCTCTACCCACCAGGGCCTTACCAGCTCTGTGGGCTCTGGGTGCTGCATTGCAGGAAGTGGAGGCACTGGCCGAGCTTGGGAGTGACGTTGAGCAGCCACCTTCGAGCTACTCTTACGACGGTCACGGTCACGTTTACCCTAGAGGCCGAAGGACAGTTAAGGCATGGTGGAACCAGAGAGACAGAGGAGCCCCAGGGAGTACAAAAAGCATGCATTGACTGGTCAGGCGGAGTGTGCAGTCAGGCACTCACAATAGGGGGAACCACAACCTGGGGAGGGCACTGGTGACATCCTTGAGGGTGGCCACAGAAGCGATGAGCAAAGTGCTGGCAGAAAAAGGCAGGTAGGCAGAACCAAGGAGGTGAACATGGGGCAGAAAAGAAAATACGACATGAAGCAGGCAAAGCCAGATTGGGAGGAAGAAACAGCAGCAGTGGTGGTAAATTTAACAGCAGAACGAGCTCTGCCCCAGCCTTGACTCCACCAGCACCAGTCCCTCTAGCCTGACTCACCCACAAGCAGCGCCGCTGCAGACACCTCCACTGGCGCTTGAGACCAGGGCGGGGACGGCGAAGGCAGAATCGGCAACAGCCACAGTCTTCTTGGTTCTGACAACCCCGACATACTCCACACCCTCGGCTCTGTGGGGGGGCAGGAGTTGTGAAGTAGGGGCTCAGGACCTTGAAGGCCAGGAGCGCCTTGGCCCACTTCATCTGACTGCCTCACCTTCTCCACAATCCGGAGGCAACGTCTCTGCTCACACTTGCAGTAGAGCCCTGAGGCCACATCATGGGGCAGCTGCAGGCGGCAGATGGAGCAAGCCCCACAGTCTTCTTTCACCAGGCAGGCTGTACACTCTCCACAGCCAACTCTCTGTCAGAAATGGATGGGGTAAGATTAGAGGCCTAGGGAGATGGCTCCAGGGCCACTGCCCTTCCAAATGTTTGCCATACCTATTAGTCTTCCATTAGCCCCCTTACTATAGCTAATAAACTACTGATTAGCTTGCCAGCACCAAGGCTACTACTATGCCTTCTTCTAGTGCTGTTAAACTCATTCCTGTAGTGATATTTCATTTGTATTTTAATAAATAAAACTTGCCTGAAGATCAGAATGCAAAAGAGCCACACTACTCAGCCATACAGGCCAGGCAGTGGTGGAACAATCCTTTAATCCCAGAAGCCACATTAGTTAGCCATAAAGGCCAGGTGGTGGCGGTGTACGCTTTTAGTCCCAGCACTAGAGGAATATAAAGCGGGATGAGATAGGAACTCACTCTTTTAGTCTGAAGATTCCATAGAGGTAAGAGCTCTCTAGAGACTTGGCTGGTTTGCTTTTCTGATCTTCAGGCTGAATCTTTCCCTGGGTTTTTATTATTCATGCTACACTTCCCTATGTCTATTGATACCCCTCTAATTCCCCCAACAGCAGGTATCTATTTAAGAAACAATCTATAACGCCCGGCTGACCTGTCGTCATTGCTAAGCCCTCCATCGGTCCTGTCCCATTCTGTTCTCTTGTAGACTGTGATGGTACTGAAAGACTCTGGGGCATCTCAGCATTACTGCCCCTCCTCCCTTGGGAACCAGGAACCTGATAAATCACCCACACGTGCACTGGAGCTTCGGGTACTTTCCCAGGTACTTTCCATCCCTTTGTGGTTTTTCTCCGAATAGACCCAGTTCCTGGAACTGGGGCAAAAACGACCCGCAGACGTTCCTCCTTGCTCAACCAACCCAGCAACTGCCTGTCCTGCCATGGCATTGACCAATTATAGTTAGCTGATCATTAAACGAGCCAGTCACAATAGTTGACAAACGACTCCTGGACTTCCCCTTTGCTTCTGCGGTTTTTTTTCTTTAAAAGTAGCCTGTAACAGCCACTCGAGGTTCTCCTCCCGAGGCTGAGGGGCCCTGGTGTGCCAGGTAATAAAATTCCTCTTGCTCTTACAACAACTGTGGTGTGAGAGTGGTCTCTCGGGGCGACCCCTCCTTGGTAAGTGGGCTTTAGAGTCCAACAATACATATTCTCACCTTAAACATTCTCTGTTCTCGGTTGAAGGCAATTCTCTGTGCTGGCGGGAGAAGGAGAATGAGAGAAATGGCAACAAAGCAACAGACACAGGCACATGGCATCAGCTACTTCCTTAACACTGACTTTCACTGCGGTGCCGTTTCATTTGTATTTTAATAAATAAAACTTGCCTGAAGATCAGAGTAAAACTGCCCCACTGGTCAGCCAGTGTAGTGGTAATGCACACCTTTAATCCCAGTAGCCACACTAGTTGCCATAGAAACCGGCCAGTGCATGCCTTTAATCCCAGCTCAAGAGAGGAATATAAAATAGGAGGGGACAGCTCTCAGACAGTCCCATTCTGCTATTCCTGGAGGTAGGACCATCATTTCGGACTGAGGTCAAGAAAGAGATTGACTGACATTTCACCATTCTACCTAAGCCAATAGTGAGGTCATAGGCCAATTCCATGTATGCCCAAAGCCTCCATCCCGACATGAACCATAGAGCCTCCAGCCTAGCCTGGCACTGGGTCTACTATGTGTCCTGTTTCCTAATCCCTAGGAACTTACTTACCTCGGCAGTCTTCGCATAATGTCTTGAGCCTCTGCCTTCTGATACCATTCCTTGGGACGCGGATTCCACAATTCTCACAGCGGCTACAGTGAAAAGAGCAGAGGTAATTACTCCCAGTCCCAAGTCTCACCTCCTACCCGGCTCACCATAAGCTAACACTCACCCAGGTACAAGTAATGAAGCTGGAGCTGTGCCAGTGCCAGCATTATTCTCAGCCCGCGGGGTTGCCTTCGTGACATCACTCTTCTGCAGCCCACCCTGCTGCTTCTTAACCTTGGCTGGTTTAGAAGGCTTCTTTTGCTTCTTGCTGGGGTCAGGCAAGGGATGGGTCTGGAGATGAAGATAGGAAGAATGTGGGTACACGGGTGACAGAGTTGCCCACGTATGGACACCGGCATTGGGAAGTACCTTGGGAGCCGGGTAGCACAAGATGCCTTGTCTGAAGTCAAAGAGGGTCAGATCACATGCAGGGCCTAGGTATCGAGTCAGTTCAACCTTGCTTCGAATCTTGTCGCCTGTGGGACTGAGAATGAACCAGAATGAGTTGGCACCATGACGGAACTAATGTCATGCCACCCACACAACAGCTCCACAGATCAGGTGAGATGCAAGGAACAGTCTGGATTCAGCCTGTGACCCCCACCTAAGACCCATCTTAAAATAAGTAACAGGAATACAGAATATAAATACAAGCATGCATACAAATGTTAATAAATACAAGTGTGAAACTCATTTTGATCCATGACATCCCAGATCCTAAGGTAACCCCCAAAAATTATAATACAGGGAAAAATTCTATTATCTGGCAATACTTCAATAACTTTAATATCGTAACACAAAACATTATTCAGGCATCTTTAGTGGTGTCAGTATAAACAAGCCTAGTGTAATGCATGTAACACACTGATGTACAGTTCATAACTGATTAATAATAATTACAATTCTTCGATTATGAACTTAGTGCGATTTTTTAGTCATTAGAGTTCTACTTATGAAAAAAACTAATATACTGTGAAACTACAATGTTAGACTGGTAGTAACTAATAAATATAGTTAAATGGTTACTACATCTCTCGACTTCACATTTCTCTGGAGCTTGATTTACTCCCATGACTTTTGTTCAGCACTGGAGTGTATTCATAGCTTATACAGTTATGTGGTGTTCCGTGATGCTCTCATCAAAAACCAACTGCGTACACATAGTAGTCTCCTATATAGTGTCTAATGACACCACACACCCTAGTTCTATAATCTCTGATTTTCACATGAAAAATCATTAAATAACATGCTTCCCAGAATGCACCAGTACCAGTGAGCAATGTATGACTCCATGAATATCCAGCTTAGGTATAGAGTATGGTGTATTAGACCACCTGAGTCTGTGTGGCCACATTCACTTTAAATTTCTCAGACTGTATTGCTATTGGTAAATATATACAGACATATAACAGGCAGGGTAGTGGTGGCACATGCCTTTATCCTAGCACTTGGGAGGCAAAGGCAGGTGGATGGCTCTCTGTGAGTTTAAGGCCAGCCTGGTCTACACAATGAGTTCCAGTACAGCCAGGGGCCCTATGGAGAAAGAGACCCTGTCTCAAAATAAATAAAAAAATAAAGACACATAAACATACTTACAAAATGTAACACTATTAGTGTTGAAAGAATGAATAAAAATCAACGTAATACATATTAAGTAATATATAAATATGTATTTTGGGTTGTTTTGCTTGAAATGGGGATATTACTTTCACCACGATGGTTTTGAAACTCATTTGTAAAGATGACCTAGAACTTCTGATCCTCCTGCCTCTTCCACCCCAGTGCAGGGATTTCAAAGTGTACCACCACACTTAGTCCATGCTGTGATGAGAAGTAAACCAGGGCTCTATGAACACAAGACAAATACCCAGTGCTTAATACGTTATGTATCACATACCAAAAGAATTAAACATAAAAGCCTGTAACAGAATTATTTTTTAAAACATGAAAATGAAACTATATTCAATACAAAGTATAAGTAATTAATGTTGATGGCACTCCAGGTCTTTTCCTGTCTACAAGAATTGTAAGAGGCCTTCATTATCTCTTGAACCAAACCACCTTATCATGGTAAAAACAAGGAACTTTTAAAAAAGGTCCCCTTCCAGGAAAAAAGGCAGCATACTATTGTACTGATACATGACTACCTAAGTTCAAACAGACAGGCTGCCTTTCCAACAGAGTGCAGCACATATGTTCTTCATGTCATCTCTGGGAATTAGGACTCTGGGAAACGGCAAAAACAGATGATCCTATGGTGAGAAACTTTTTTACCTCCTACCAGCATCCATAAAACTAACAAACCGAATTACTATTCTGATAAATACATACCTTTTGACGATTAGTTGTAAATTTAAAATTTTTCATATAATTTCATATGTGAAAAAAGTTATAATAGACTTTTTTATAGAAATTTTATTACATTCCAGGGAAATGGCAACTTAGACAACCAGGAAGGGTATAGAAATGTTAACAGCTATAGCACAAATACATTCTAATGCTCATGAACTTTAATGTTGAGGTACTGACAATCAATTCTCATTAGATGTAGTAATTATCTTTTTCTTTTTTAAAATTTTATTTATTTATATATATATTTTTAGGTACGAGTGCTCTGTTCACACCTATGCCTGCACACCAGAAGAGGGCATCAGATCCTAGATGGTTGTGAGCCACCATGTGGTTGCTGGTAATTGAACTCAGGACCTCTGGAAGAGCAGCCAGTGCTCTTAACCTCAGAGCCATCTGTCCAGCCCCTACATGTAGCAATTATGAAGTTGCTACGAACCCAGAATTCAGGAAGCAAGAGCCACTGCTCCCCTGGAAACGCACGGGGAGATCCCAGCAAGTCTGTCAGGCTTTCAGCAGCTGAACAGCTCATTTGTGCTTCTGCTTAGAGACACTGCAACGTTTCTTTCTTAAAGACAACTCCGGAACCAGGAAATGATTAAGGGCCACTGGCTTCTGAGGATGTTTTGTCTAGGATTGTCTGCCAGTGTTTTGGTTTTGTTCTTCTGAAGACACCTGATGCACAGGACCTGTACCCCAAGTTTACTGTTTTTACACCACGTCACCTTCTGAAACATGCGAGTGAGCACGAGCACCTAAAACGGTTCACATTTCCTAGTGCTGGCTAACATGTCTTTGCCGGTCGCCGTGCTTTGCTGGCCAGCAGTTCACGGATCTACACATTTAGCTGCTTTCCCAGCTTCCCTGAAGCTTCGGCAAGTACTCTGGATGTTAAGTTTTGTTCTTCCCAGGGCAGCCTCACACATATCTCAGCGAGTTTCCTCTTCTCTTTCAGGATGGACTGCTTCTTAACACTGTAACTCAAGCGGATAGATAGCACACGCGATTCATGGAAGAAGCTTATCTGACAGGGAGACAAAGCACATGCCCTTCCTCTTGCACTCAGAACACTAGAAAACACTATAGCACTTTATTTGGGAGTCATTTTAAACAATAAATTAGGCAACAAAAATAAGGCACTAAATAGGTCACAGAAAGGATGCTTGATTTGCAGTACAAAGGAAACAAAAAGTTCTTGTTCAACTTACTGGGAAGGCAAGCACTAGACAATTCAAACTTTTAACTCCCATGCATATCTATGAATAATCACAAATGCACTGTGAATATTGGCTTTGGTCAAATAAACTTTATTAGGGATAGGTGATTATGAAAACACAAACTCTTTTTAATAAGGACTGACTACTTGTGAAAGACCAGGATAAATCCAGACCCCCTAGCAGGAAGAGTAGAACCAAAAATCTAGGTTAGCCGGTTCAGTGACTTTGTTCCAGGAACTGGCTGACCACAAAATTAGATTATAATCTTGAGAACAATCTTGAGAAACGGGGAGTTACCCCCTTGTGATTATCACTGGTATTTTCGGAGTCTTCCAATGATGCCCTCCCTACCCCCTTTGGGTTGTGGTTTCTTCCCTTAAATACCCCTTCTCCAAGCTACTCGGGGTCGAACTCCTCTACCCCTGCGTGGGATATAAGTCTTCGCCCCAGCGCGCTGTTTCCTGTCAATAAACCTCGTGTGATTACAGCAAGAATGGTCTCTCGTGAGTTCTTGGGGGGTCGTGTTATCCCGAGACCTGATTGAGAGTCTCCCAACTCTGGGGATCTTTCATGCACGATTTTAACTCCACCCATACTGTTTAACCTCATTAGTAGTGAAACAGTACACAGGTGTGTGTAAATTTAAACACACCTGTATACTGTATATGGCTTAACTACTAACTAGGTTCGACTCCACTGAACACTGTCCACAGCCCACCAATTACCTCTGATAATAGATGTCTGAGCGTCCACAAGAGGCCCCTGACTTTCGAAAGGACTCACGACGCTTCCAGCCAGGGCCCAGGGCTGGGCAGTCCTGCCAGTCCTCAGCCATAGATGCTTCAGGAAAGAAGAGAAGCCTGCAGGATTGGAAACAGGTAGAGTCTGGAAGACATTGAGGGTCTACAAAGTGGCCACCTGTTTCCAGGCCACCAAAATCATGTGTTTCCTTTAATATGCGCCCAGACCTGAACATGTGTTTCCTTGGTGCAGAAAATACTTCATCCCTCCTCTTTGTCATCCTCCACACATGAAGAGTACTCTTCCAGTCTGAGAAGACTCGTTCCTCCTATTCTGAGTATGAGGTTCCTATGTCTCTTGTCCTCAGCTCCCTACTTTAGTTTAACTTCATTTAAACTTCCCTTGACCTGAGCTTCCAATGTCATTCAGTGGTCTAGCTGCGTTTATATGAGAGCCCCCAACTCCTCTGCACATCAAACATTCCCCAGCCTGGAAGGCTCTGGTGTCCCCCCTTCTTAAGTCCAAGAGCTCTCCCCAATACTTATTTCCCCTCATTTGACCCACGATTTCTCTTCCCTCTCAACCCTAACCATTATAGCCACTCTTCTCCTTAACTTGGTCATTCTCCATTTCTCTTATCCTGTGAAACTTCCTTGTCCCTTTGAAAGACCCCAGCTTAGCTGCAGTAATGCCATTTTGCAAGGCTTTCACACAAACAAGTATAAGTTCAAGGTAAAGTCGGTACTCCTAGGCTGCCAAACAGGAATATCTGTGGTCAGACATCAGGCCTAGGAGGGAAACAAAAAGTTCTGGGAAAAAATACATGTGCCCTAGATAGAGCCAAGTCAGCTATTATCAGATCTTCATGTCCCCGAGGAACTTGTCCTCAAGTAAATCCATAGCCTCATTCAAACTGATCAATGAAATCCCTGTAACCATGTATCTGCTTCTGCCGCCCTTTTTCCTATAAAAAGACCCTTACCCAGCCTGCCGGCGCACAAGTCTTCCAAATAGACTCTGACGCCCGCAGGTACCTGTACACTTCTCAATAAAAAAAAAAAAACCTCTTGCCGTTGTAGCCAGTGGTCTCGGACTGTCCCTTGGGTTTAGGGGTCTCCTCCTGAGGGAAGGTCCTCTCTGAGGGTCTTTCACCTTCACACGGTGACCTCTCTCAATTTGTCTGTGTTCCAAGACGACACCACCCCTGCCAGTCTTCTGACAGGCTACTTCTTTTCGTCCTCCACGAGTCTCTTGTAAACCTAACCCTGCTATTTCTCCCGTCACCCGTCTCAGGCCCCCTCTTCTCACTATGAGCTTTCGGTCCCTCCTGTTAACATGGAGACCTGACGCCTCTCTGAACGTTCGGATCTCTCCCACTCCTCTCCATCCTCTTCCCAGAGTCTGGACATTGCTGTCATAGCCCTGAGCCACATTCCTTCCTTCCCTCCCTGTCTTCTGCCCAGTTTACTCAGTCCTCTCTGCAACATGCACAAGACGCCATTCCTTCTCCTGGGCTCAGGGCCCTTCGCGTCTCCCTGCTAATGGTCCGGAACCTCAATTCCTCCCCAGCCTCCCTGCGCGCTCTCTCCACTTGCACGCCCACGGCTGTCTCACCAGCTGGACACGAGGCCCTGGGCGTCCACTGCGCTAGGCCCGTGGACCCATAGGGAGGATCCCGCCCCGCGCGTCCCGCCCGATCCAGTCTTCTTCCTCCTCCACGGCAGCCTCCTCCAAGGCACTAGTTGCCGACTCTGCGGCGGTTGGTTACTTCCGGAACCGGAAACCAACGGGCTGCCTTTGGGGCTCCCACCAGGACACGCACCTGTGTGCAGCCTTAACACGCCTGCCCTTAGTGGGGAGGCTCCAGCGCCTGCGTACTGCGGCTTCACGGGGCGGGGGTGGGGGGTCGCGCGCGGATTGCCAGGGACCTGCTGCGCCTGCGCGCTGACAACATCCGCAGCCCGCGCGGTCTTGCCTTGCCTGTGCGCCTGCGCAAGCAGCTTCCCGAGTCAGTGCATCCTTCCCACCCCACTTGTCCCTAGAGCGGAGGCACAGTCCTGCCCCAACACAAGGGGGCGTGGACAGCTCGGCCCGTTCTTAGTTTTTGTCTCCACAAATAGCAGGCACTTGATCGCCGAACTTGTCTCTGTCCACTTGCTGTCCTGGGATAACCCCCGCTTTGTTCCTGGGACTACCTTCTTCAGTATCGGTACCTACTACTCTCTGGAACTTCCAAGGGTCACTGCACCCTAGCCAGGTTCCTTCCTTGGGAACAGGAGAGGAGTCTTGATGTGCAAGCAGGTAACGAGGGTACCTAGTGAGAGCTTACCCATCGCTCAAAGGCCCGATGGGAGGGGATGGTGAACTGACCAAGGTTACCTGTTTTGCTTTCAGCTGACTCCGTTTGTGTGCTGGACCCAACAACTCCTCGGCCCAGCTGTGTTATGATGTTAGGGGGTTGCAGACTGTTGTGCCTAAGTCCTGAGACACCCCCCCCCAAGAAGACCACCACTGAGCCACACTTTCGAAAAAACAAGGTTTCATTTATTGTATACGGGCTAGTGCGGGTCCTCTACCTCGCAGTCTGACACAGCAGATGGAGGGAGAAGGACCCCATCTATTATGGTAAGGGGTTTATAAAGACAAAAACCTCAAAGCGGTAACAAGTTTCAAAGTACAAAATTACTTATCCTATATCACGGTTGGCTAAAGGTTAGGTAAAACTTCGCTGTTATTTTCTAATAGGCTCTTGTCTAGGGCACAGTTGGTATGGGTGAACAAGCCCCACTTCCCGCACGGTTGAGTAACAATGGACCAAGAAGATAAGTTTCCAAAGGGTCAGCTGGTGGTACCTAACCACAGGTGGTCAACATCTTTTGTGTAACCCACAGGTGGGTAGCAGTCAGCACTTTTGTGTAATTTGGGTTTTTCCATTAACTAATACTTCCCTTAGGAGGGGCCTTGCGACCCCGACTTTTCTCAGGGTTTGGGATGAAGTTCGAGGTCCCAAAATGTCCCAGCACAAAAATGGAATCTTTTCCGGCCTCAGTTTTTCTGGTCTCACATCCCCCCTAGGAGTTCTAGATGGAGTTCAATCCTGAACCCTAGGTTCCTTAATATGATGGGAATAACTTGCAAGTTCTATTTCATCCTCATCCGGGAGGGGATAATAAGAATAATAATACATTAGCGTTAGTACGCTGAACCATAAGTTCAATGGTATCAAGCCTTTGTCTTACAAACTGTACCAGCCTATTAATTATACATGGGCCAATAGTCAAAATTAATAAGAAAACCAATAGGAGTCCTATAATAATGGCAGAAACAAGGGTCATTCACCAAGGAGAGCTATTAAACCAGGATTCGAACTATCCCTGTTAAGAGTCTCTTCCCCCTTCCCCCCCTCCCCTGTCCCCTGTCCCAGTCCCCTGTCACCGTCCAACACCCCTCCTACCCCCCAACCCCCCCCACCCCGCTTTAACAAAGTCCTCCTTATTGTAGAAAGATTAAATGTAGCCCTCTTTTGTTCTGCAAAACCACTTTTGCTAGTGATGTTAAGAATCCTCCAAATGGTAATGAAGGTTTCTAAGCGGGGTCTATATCCTTATCAATGGCGGCTTGCTGATCACCAGGGAAGTTACTCCCTTTCTAAAACCTACCAAGCTTGTACCCAAAAGAACTCTAAGAGTTTCGGCAGTGACCAGTTCCCTCTTTGGCTTCCTGTGGGTCCATCTGTCGCTTTTTGTCAAAGTTAAAAAGTCTGAGTTTGTATGATAGATCACTGGAGGAATCACTCTGGTCAACCCAGAAGTCCTGTGGATCAGCTATTACCTTGCGGTTTACACAGGGGTACGCCCTGAGGAACAAGTCCACCAGGTGTCCCCTACCGGGACCAAATAATCATGTTCTTGTCCGTGGTCCGCCTGCAGGGCTCCTGTGCTCATAGTGTCATTGCGAAGGTGTTTTCTACTTATAGGAATCCTGCCTATATAAAGTCTTGTCCCCGTAACCCGTTCTAAGGTTAGGCTATGCTCCGTCGCCGTCTGCACCGAGTGCCGTCTGACTCAATGAGCAAATTATTAATAGCTACTCCTTCATAATAGGGCAGGTAGTAGGAGGTAGGACTATAGATTTCTTAGCTCTTTGAGGTGTAGACTGTTTAACAATGGGGCAAGGGAATAAGGCGTACAGTCTCGTGGGGGCCATTCTGGTTGTCAGAGCCCTCCCTGTGAGTGACTTGAAGGGAGAAGCAGACTGCACTGGAACCCAGGGCTGCATGCTCAGCCAGGTTCCCCTATTTAACTTGAGTCCCCCCAGACTTGAGCCCTCTCTCAGTTCCAGTCCTGTCGTCCCTCCTGGGTGAAGGAAATAAGAATCCGGTTGCCCTCAACCAAAGAATGGATAAGGAAAATGTGGCACATTTACACAATGGAGTACTACGCAGCAGAAAAAAATAACTAATCACATCTTGAAATTTGCAGGCAAATGGGTGGATCTAGAAAGCATCATATTGAGTGAGGTAATCCAGACCCAGAAAGACAAATATCATATGTACTCTCTCATAAGTGGCTTTTAGACATAAAGCAAAGAAAAAACAGCCTACAGTTCACAATCCCAGAGAACCTAGACAACAATGAGGACCCTAAGAGAGACATACGTGGATCTAATCTACATGGGATATAGAAAAAGACAAGATCTCCTAAGTAAATTGGGAGCATGGGGACCATGAGAGAGGGTAGAAGGGGAGGTGAGCAGAGAAAAATATATAGCTCAATAAAAACAATAAAAAAATAAAAAAAATTCCAAACCTAAAAAAGAAAAAAAATGAGATTGCAAAATAGGGGGCTAGGGGTCTTTTTCAATTCCCATGCCATAAAATCTCTATAACCCTTAGAACAGCTATTTCCTCTTCTAGTACTTATGACTTTAATAGGACCCTTATGTTGTATTACTTGTATCATACCTGTCTTTTTACATCCCCAAATTTTCTGATAAAAATCTTCTTCCCCACAATCATTATGCAGGGGAGAACCAGGGCAAACCTGAAATTCCCGGTTTCTCAACTCAGTCAGTCCATCGTTTGTGTTACAGTTTCAAACAAGAGTCCCGTTTGCCAGCGTACAGAGGTCTATTTCAAGGGAGGGACACCATATCCAGCAGGGTTGACTATCAGTCCTGGAGACCCAGACAGTCCCTGTTTTGGGGTCAGCCACTATCCAAGTGACTTGGTAAGGGTTCATGCAGTGAGGTTTGGGGAACGGCTGCGACTCCTGGAAGCCCCAGTGCTTGGTGGCCTGATGTGAGTAAGCCGGATTTAAGTTCGTGGATGAGCACCAAGAGAACAGCCAAAGGTGTGCTCTTCCAGACTGTGGGGCCATGGAAGAGACCAATGGCCTGTCTGTCCAAAAAGCTGGATCCCATGGCTGCAGGGTGGCCCCCTGCATCTGCATCATAGCGGCAGTAGCACTACTGGTTAAGGATGCTGACAAACTGACTTTGGGACAGAACCTAACCATTGCCACTCCACATGCGCTGGAGGCAGTGCTTAGACGACTACCCGACCGAATGGCACGCTATCAGGCCCTGCTCCTTAACTCAACCAGAATAAGTTCCAAGTCCCAACAGCTCTCAACCCAGCTACGGTGCTGCCAGACCCTGACCTTGAAACCCCACTTCTTGACTGTTCCAGAATCCTGGCCCAGGCACACTGCACTCCTCCTGATTTGATTTCAACATAAACCAGGAGTTGGTAGAGGGCCATTCCATTCCTCCTGTCTCTGACCATGCTAGGGGAAACTTGTGAAGCCAGTTCTCTAGGGTGGGTCAAGTTCCATTGGATTTTGGTGGAGCCTGTTAAGTAATGAAAATCTGGCTTCGTTTCCCATCTTGATGAAGCAACTTGGCCCCTTTGTCCGAAAAACGTATTTGAACTTTTATGTTTTTGTGAGTAAATCTTGTAGTGGAAGCTGCGGGCCTGCTTTTCGTCCCGCCTGGCTCCCGCTTGGTTAGCTTTACACCCGAAATAACAACACACAAATTGTATTCATTTAAACACTGCCTGGCCCATTAGTTTCAGCCTCTTCTTGGCTAACTCTCACATCTTGACTAACCCACTTCTAATAATCTGTGTAGCACCACAAAGTGGTGTTTTACCAGAAAGGATTCTAGTGTACGTCCATCTTGGGCTGGAGCTTCATCACATCTGCCCTGGAGAGGAGCGGCATGGTGTCTGAGCTCACTTCCCTTCTTCCCAGCATTCTGTTCTGTCTACTCCACCCACCTAAGGGCTGGCCTATCAAATGGGCCAAGGCAGTTTCTTTAATAACCAATAAAATCAACAGATTGACATATGACAATGCTACATCAAAATCTCAGCACAGGAGGGGATGGGGACATTCGGGTGTCACTAGGAATGAATGGGTTACCTGTCCATTCCCAAATCTGCCTTTCTTTCAGTAGTCCAGGGGTATGGTTTAGTCCCAGTGGTCCCTGTACCCAGGTTTGCTTATCAGACAAAGGTTCTTCAGGCTTTAATAAAACAGAATTTTCTGAACCCTGACCTCCCTAATCACTACCCACATCAAATTGTAGAACC